CAAAAAGGAAATTAGTTTTCCTGAGGTCACACAGCTAGCAAGTGGTAGAACCCAGTGCACACCAGATCTTCCCTCTCCAGAGCCCTGAATCCTAACCACTATGCTATTTTGCATCAGTCTTATTTTCATATCCCATGTCCTTTATGCACAGCCAGAAAATAGGACCATGTTCTGCTCTCATAAAACCCCAGTTACAGTTTTTTGCGGATGACATCATCTACCTTTGATCTGATTGAGCACTCAAAATTGTCTATAGCAATTAGCCTAACTCAAAGTGGTTTTCCTCTTCTAATGAAATCTTGATCATCATTAGACACTAATGCTAGATGGAGCAAAATTCCATGTCCTCAATGTTTGACTCCAGAGAAGAGTCAAAAATTATTTTCTAAGAATTTGGACCTAGTCTGACAATAAATAATGTGTACTATTGGTTCTGCCACTTAACTATTATTTTGAGCATATTACCAAATCTCTCTGTGACTTAGTTTCCTCAACTGTAAAATGTCAATAATGGTAGGGATGCCTGTCTGTACTGAATAACATTTAAAATATTGTTCTAATTACAGTGGCTCCCTGAATGCTCCCCACCCACAAAACATACATAGAGCTCTCAGCAGCTTTGTATGAACAGTAGGGGAAATGCCTAGCTCAAACTGGGCCAACCAAATTCTCTCCTTCCTCATTCTGGTGATCACTTTCCTCCCACCCCATGGCTTGAGAAATTGAAAGAAGCTCAGCAGAGAGTGAAAGATTAAATAGATGTGAAAATAAAGCAGAAAGATCCCCCTTGCATCTTCATACTAAGTTCTCCTTTTTGGCATTTGGAGTCTTACCTGGCAGACCACCTCACTATCTTGTTGGGAGTAAAAAACACAAAAACATCTGTGAAGAGTTTAACCTGGAATAAGGTGAGCATTAATGAATTGTTACACCCTTGGCTCACATCTGGGATGGGCTTTTATTCAGGCATGGGTCTTGTTAAGCTTCTTAGTTGATACAAGAGAAAAAAAATCTTGAGGTGCTATAGACCACAGTTAAATGTTTACTTAACTAGCAGCATAAAATAGCCACAGTACAGTTAAATCCAGGTAGGACAATCATGCACCAACAACTGGGGAACGGTTTGGGGGTTGCTGATTCTTTCTAGGGTAGGTGGAAAGCCCAGTCATTTGTGCAAACGCAAATGGGATTTCTCTTGGTAGTCTTGGGTGACATTTGGTTTTCACTTCAAATTTATGTGAACAATAGTCTCTGTCTTTTATACCAACATGGTTACTGTTCACTCTATCTCCTATCTCAGAGTAGAAGCTCCATGAGAGCAAGTGCCGAGCTTGTCTTGCTCCCACCACATTCCCAGCATTTAGCACAGGTTGTGGCACACAATAGGACATCAAGAGTATTTTTGAAAAAAATGAATGTAGATTTTTATTCACTGATATTAATACTTGCCTACAATCACATATCCTGCGAGTGAACTCAGGGCAGGATTCAGATGGAAGCGTGTTCAGCTCCAAAGCGGTCTTTCCTGCCAGTTGTGTCTTTCTGAAACTTCCACTCTGACAACTTATGGTACCTATGCAGACCCATGGTCTCTCTTGCTCCCCAAATCCTACCCACTCTACCATTGTTCTGTTGACCCCAGTATTTAACCAAAATCCCCCTTCATTTCTTTCTCTTTTTCTAACATGTGTTCATTTAATAATTACTGAGAATAATATGTACCAATCACTGAGCACTAAAGACAAAAGATAAATAAGACCCCATTCAGCCATCAAGAAAGAGAAATGTAAAATAATAATAATAATAATAATAATAATAATAATAATAAAATACTACTACTAATAATAATATAGTAATTAAGTCTAATATTCATGATAAGAACTATGACAAATGCCAAGAGAAAGTTATTCTCCCAGGTGTTGGAGATAAGAAAAGTTTTAGACATTACATTTGGGGCTAAAAATTGATAGAATAAAAATGATTTGGACATAGAGAGAAGAAAGGAAAAAAGGAAATTCAAGTTCAAAGAACAGCCTGGCTGTGTTAGTAAAACATGATGTACTAGGCAAGGTACAGCAACCAGTTCAGGAACAGTGGGGAGTGTGTGTGAAGCAAGAGAGGAGGCAAGCAGGCAGGCTGGGAGCCATTGCCAAGGTTCTGAAAGTCCCACTCGGCTCTGAGCAACCTACAGAGCCAAGTAAGCACATGCTTAGGACACCCAAATTGAAATCAGATGGAGACATTCCCCCCCCAAAAAAATTAGCTTAATTTCAACATACTGTGTCATTTCAAAAAAATATTTCTATTTCAAGTTTTAGTATTTTAAAAAGTGTGGATTACAAGGCTGGGGTTGTGGCTCAGCGGTACAGCACTCACCTGGCATGTGCGAGGCCCTGGGTTCGATCCTCAACACTACATAAAAATAAATAAATAAACAAAATAAAGGTATCGTGTCTAACCAAAAAATAAATATTAAAAAAATCTGGATTACATATGGAGATATCATCATAACTTTCTCAGTGCTTAGAGACTCTAAAGGTATTTATCAGGCTTTAGTCCTGTTAGAAAAATTAAATACTAACTAATCTCAGTTTTGAGCTAGGCAGAATTGAGTAAAGACAGTTTGCAAACTGCTTTATGCATGGACTATAACTGTACCTCTTAACTCTCTCAAATACTAGGGATTTATGAGGTCAATTGTTTACCCAAAGGACCACAGCTGGCAGCATTTCAGGAACTGTGACAAATGAACTATAATAGGGAGGTCTTTTCCTGTAGTCCRAGAACTAGGAACCCAGTAAAACTCAAATACCCTACTTTCTAAACTGAAGTCAACCATTTCCCCAGGAACCTATAAGGAGGCTGCAAACTGATCCTGCTACCTCTAACCAGCCCAAACATCTTCTTTATCTCACATTAATATATCTTGTGAGACACAATTCGTGGCCAAAGTTGTACATGCCCTCCCCCCTAGAATCACTGGGGAAGGAAGGGAGTAGTTTAGAAAATCACTCATCTAGATCAGAAGTTTCTGCAAGAAGGAGGAAATGAAATCTCACTCCTAAGCTGGTTGGTTTCTACACCCCATCCCACCTCCCACTCCAGGACTGCAGGATGAGAGGCACCCTAGGAGAGTAACATGTATATAGGAAATCTGGGGCCTCAAACATGAAATACCCTACTTTCTAAACAAGGTGAAGTGGAACTCTATCTCAAGAAAATGAYATATATCATTCAGGCAAAGACCATTGCACCTGCCAGGTGCCCAGCAGCAGAGAGCATCAGGCGAAGGCAGACGGAGAATAAGGTAGCCCACTGTGTCACCAGCAGGGATAGGGAAGCACCTCTGATAGCTCCCCATGCTCTCAATTATAGAGGTGAAAGWTGGGAGCAGGGAGGGGAGAMGTGSAAGAGCAGGTGGCACCCTTGYTACCTGGTACCCAGATCCTAGATTGGAATTTCTCTGGACATACYCCACACAYRTAGTACATAYCTGGCCCACAGCAGACATTTAATACTAACRTTSAACATGAAAAATTGAATGGAAGCACRTAATGAAGGTTASTGCCCATCTYCCYACCCCACCCACCCCACCCTAGCTTTCCCAGTTTAGGAGTCCTATTTKTTGGGTAGAGGAGGGTGTTCCCTTGGCACAGAAGCTTGCTTAAATAACATGGTGTTCCCTGGGTCAGGTATGGTGTGGTCTCCTGCAATGCCAGTTTCTGGGCAGCGCTTAGGCTTCCACAGTCCATAGGCCCTGGTTGCATGCCAGCTCACTGGGTGGAAGGGTATAAATCTCAGCTACTCTTGAGCCCTGCCACATGKGCACCTAAGACTTCCAACAGCAACATGAAGTTGGGAGGCTTCCTTCTCCTTGCGGCACTCATCTTCCTCAGCCTTGAGTTACAGGAGCTTCAGGCTGCGGTGAGACCATTGCAACTTTTGGGTGAGTCCAGCCAGAATGCGGCCCTATTCTTCTTCAAATGAAAACTCTAGAAAGTAGAATTTCAGTGTGCAGGAGGAAGGGGGAGAAGGAGGAAAGATTCTCCTAAAGAGACACTGAAAGGACCCCMCMCACACACACACACACACMACACACACACACACTTTGGTGGCCACCTCGAAGCTTCCCTGAGCAGGAGTTCTCTCCTGCCCCTGCTTTCTCTTTCTCTTTCTCCTGGTTCATTCCACCATCTGGACTCTCTGTTCTTCTCCTTCTGTCCCCTCATCAGCCATCCTCCATCTCCCTCTTCACTAGCTTCTTTCTTGAATTATCTGGAGAAAATATTTGCTGTAGCATGCTAAACGTGAACCATCACGACTTCTTCTCCCTTTACCACCACCATTTTCAAAGGAGTATTCTTAATTCTCTGTAACTTGGTTCCTAACAGCTTGAAGAGAATAATGGCYTCAGGAGAATAATGGGGGCAGGAATCCAGGCTGTGGATTCCTGCCCCCATTATTCTCCTGAAGCTTCTCCCCGTGGTCCCCTTGACAAATCCCCTGAYTTCTCAATTGCAAAGTCTTCAACCTCCACAGCATCTAATATTGTTTGTCCTCCTTTAGTCCTCAAGCTTTCTTCTCTCCTGGATTATCTTTCACTGTAATATTATTCTTCTCCCTAAATATTAGAGGATTCGATTTACTCCTCTCTCTTCTTTGCTCTTTTCCTCCCGCCCCATCCATTTTGGTCCATTCTTTGAAACTGTTTCTTCACCTGCTCCTTCAACTCTCACTGCCCCACTGTTTCTGGCCTGATTGCTCCATCTCAACAGCTTCTAACACCTTTCCCTGACTCTGGAGTTTTCCTTTTGCAGTTTACATGGCTGTTGAATCCTGTTCCATCCTATGCTCCCACACCAGAATGATCCTCCCAAGTGAATAACCTCTCTTGGCCTATCAAATGAAATCTCAAGTCCACAGGTCCTGGACATCTGCCTTTGTTTGTTTGTTTGTTTGTTTGTCTCCTGCTTCGGTTTCCTGCTTAGCTTCCAGCTACTCATAATACTTATGCAGACTTCCATTTGCCATTCCTTCTGGATTCCTCTTATTCCAGGGTGGGGAGTGAGACCAATGAGGTGCCTAGGGTTCAAGATTTAAAGCTGCACTGGATAGCAAGGTTGTGCACAAGTTCCTCCTTAAGTTTTGGACGCTATGCACGTCACTGACCTCCCCCTCACTCCAACCCGGTTGCATTTTCCCATTGTGAATTTTTGCTAGTAATTCTTTTCTCACAACACTCCACCTGCCTCCTCCCACTAATTCTGCCTTCAAAATATCCTTGCTCTTCAAGATTCACCTTTTACAATTACTCTAATTGGAAGTAACGACTTACTTCCTCTGAGCCCCCTGAGTCCTCTGGATCAGGTCTCTTGGGACACTTGTGAAATATTGTTGGGTTTTTTTTAACATTTAAAATTTTTTTTTAAATTGTAGACGGGCACACTACCTTTGTTTTATCTATTTATCTATCTATCTATCTATCTATCTATTTTACATGGTGCTGGGGATCCAACCCAGTGCCTCACATGTGCTAGGCTAGTGCTCTACCACTGAGCCACAACCAGTCCTGCTACTTTATTTTTAGTACTTGGAATGTAAGTCTTATCTCAACTGTTAGATTCCGAGCTGCTTGTCTTACATCTCTATATTTCCTGAATAACCTCCTCTATGCTTGATATATAATAAGAAATCAACAGTAAGTACTTATGAGTGACTAAACTGCCATCAGTGGGGACAAGGGATCTTTGATGTCCTCACAACAAATTAACAACAGCTCCTGGGAACATGGAAGGATCACACTAATTCCTATAAAGTACATCATAGACATCCCCCAGGGCCCTTGTTACACCCCTCAGATACTGCTAGTCAATCATGGCACTCTTTTCTCTCTGAACATGGATATGGCATCTGAGTCTGCTCAGCACAGTACCAAAGAGCCACCTCCATTGATTGGAGTTCACAATGGAGAATGAGCTTTATTTTTTCCTGCTAGATCTAAGGGCCCCATTTTACAGAGGAGGAAACAAAAGCCAAGAGAAGTCCAGAGATAGAATCAGGTAGAGCAATTCCTGAAAACAGCAAAGTAGCCAATCTAGRCACAGCATACATTCATCTACAGCACTGCATGGTACTTTGCTAGAAGCCCCTGTGAGATCTTAACCAGATCTTTAGTCCTACTTCATTGGTTCCAAAAACCAATCTTGAGACTCTGGGAACTTGGAGACTCTCCACTCAGGTCAAGAGTGACTCCTTGAAATTTAGAGATGTGCTCTTCGTGTCAGGTCAATTTCACCATGTGGGCCAGCAGAAGGCCGAGGGACCAGGCAGGTCAGGGGTGAATCCCACTTCTGTATCTATTAGCAGGCAAGTCATATCTGTGAATCCCAGCCTCAAAAACCTATAAAATGGGGATAGTTAGACTCATCGCAACTGCAGGGGACCCTTGAAGACAGTCAGTAAATGTGAGTCTCCCCTTCCTTGCAGTGTGGGGAAGTGAGGACATTTGGGGGGCCTCTTTGCACTTATCCTCCACAAACACAAACACTCTCTCCCCATCTCTAAAGTAGGCTTTACTTTATTGAGGTTATTTAACTGAAATATACAATACGTTAATGAGTATTAGTCTGCCAGTAATCATTTATAAATTATAATACTAAACTGAAAGAAAGAAGTGGAACTTCTTCCTTAAAACTGGACTGTCATCCCCAGTGCTTGAGCCTCAGGCACAGTGGTTTTCAGCTGGTCTGTTCTAACTTAGGGGCCTGTGCTGAGCTCTGCAGAGGTGACTGGGACTGTGGACCAGGGGAGCACTGTGTCAGCACCGGGTGTGGACATGATTGTGCTTCSGACTAAACACAGGTAAAAACATCCTGCTTCCCCAAACTTGCCCTGCCCAGGCAGGTTATACATATGGCTCCCTTTAGACTTTCCAAAATTGGGTGCGACAGAAGCCTGTCTTCTAGTAGCCTCTCCCTCTTCACCCCCAATAAAAGATGTATCCCATCACAAGATAGTGATTTCCAAACTTTTAAAATAATTTCCTTACCCGGTATATCCTGGGGGAAAAAAATATCAGGCTATTTTTTTTAGGAAAAAAAAAGAAGATAAAAATAACCCATAATCCCACAACCCCCCAAAATGTCTGCTTAACATGATGATGCATATTTTAAACATAAATATATAATATGTATTTTAAAATGAGAATCTTGTACCTATTTCAATTTCTCAATTATTTGACTTAAAAATCACTAGTGAAAAATTTTAGTACTAATAGTGAGTCCTCCATCCCATCATCTCTACTGGCATTAAACTCATCATATATGCTCATGTACTTGGTAACCTCTAAGATAGCTCTTATTTTTATATTAGTAATATGACTATAATGAATAGTAAATTAATCATTCCCATATTAATTCTCTTGGGGTAAATTCTAAGAAGCATAATTATTGACCAAGTATAACTATTGACCATTATTCATTGTAAGTCTTTGATAGATATTGCCTTGTTGACCTATAAGCATCCCTCTCCTATTAAAAGATATTTCAGGGGACCCATGTGGTAGTTTCTTTATTTTCAGTAGCTATTAATTGAAGAAAGCATAGTAAAAAGCTACCATGATTCAGTTTTGATTATAAATTAAGTTGTACTAAACACAATAGAATCAGTATACATTTTTAAACAAACCATTTATCTTCAAAACACATTACTTGCCCAATCCACCTGCAATCCTTGGAATGTTCAGGACCTTGCTGGCCACTTGCAGCTGCTATGGATTTTCAGAATTGTATTCTGTGGATCCAGGTCCCCAAAACAGTAGGTCTCACATATAAATTTTTTGTCCATTTCTCAAAGAGTTCTCTTAAGGGCCATCTTCTCTAATAACTGCTCATCTCTTCCTGTAGTTTCTTCCTGAAATGATGGGACTTTCTGGAGCTTCTTGACTGGAAAGAGAAATGAAAATCAGGACCTGTGGATKGAGACTACAAGTAGTATGGGGGAAGGGAAGAGGAGGTGTTTGTTTCAATAAATAATCACTTTAAAAGCATCCACACTACTTGAGTTATTTAATGAGAGGTGGCAGTGAAGATGAGGAAGGTGAAGAGGAATATACATGACATTTGTTGAATATTTTCAATGTGACAAGGAATATGTTAAATTCTTCACAAGCATTATCTAAGTTATTCTTTTTTTTGGCGGGGGGGGGGGGGAGATGCCGGGGACTGAACTAAGGGGCACTCAACCACTGACCCACATCCCCAGCCCTATTTTATATTTTATTTAGAGACAGGATCTCACGGAGTTGCTTAGCACCTTACCATTGCTAAGGCTGGTTTTGAACTCAAGATCCTCCTGCCTCAGCCTCCTGAGCTGCTAGGATTACAAGCATATGCTACTATGCCCAACTTCTAAGTTATTCTTACAACAATCTTTTGACTATGCTTATCATGACCATTTCATATGTAAAAATGAGTTTGGGTAAATTTAGTAATTTGCATAAAATTAATTACATAATTACATAAGATAGGTGTTGGGGCCTACACTTTTATCCCGTATCAAACTCTGAGGGATAGGCATTATAACACAGTAATTAGGACCATCTACTCTGAATTTCAAACCAAGGCACACATGCAGCTGTATGGCCTTCAGCAAATATCCTGACATTTTTGTGCTTCAGTTTCCTCATTTGTACAATAGTATAGACATCATAGACCTACAAAAAGTTTAATTCTTGTAGAGTGCCTGGCATAGTGCCTGACATAGTGGTCCCAACAGTTGGTTCCCCATATCCAAACAGGTTCTGAATCCATAGATTCAACCAGCTGCAGGATGAAAATATGTGGAACAAAAAAAAATTGTGCCTGCCACAAAATGTGCAGACCTTTTTTTTCTTCTCATTATTCTTTAAACAATATAGTATAACAACTATTTACATGACATTTACATTGCAATAGATATTATGAGTAATCTAGAAATGACTTAAACTACATGGTAAGATGTCTACTGGTGATATGCAAATACTATGCCATTTTATATAAGGGACTTGAGCCTTCTCAGATTTTGATATCCTCAGGGAGTCCTAGAACCAATGAATCATGAACTCCAAGAGATAACTATATTCAATAAATGTTTACTACTATTACTATTATTATTTTTACAAAATAGATGGGCTGTTGACCCTTAATTTTACAAGAATCTAGAACAAGACACAAGGCCAATTCTCCTTCCCAGTCTCTAGTTTCTAGTTTTAATCTGGATACTGAAAGTCAGCCCCTCATTTCTGTTTTTCTCCCCATTACAAAAAATATGGGAGGTAAAAATGTCTAATAATTTCTTGTTTATGTTCTTCATAATCACAGACCTAAGACTTAGCTGGCCTAGGTTAAAGTCTGATTTTGACCAATGCTGTTAATGTGGACCTTGACAAACTATTTAAGCTCTCTAGCATTATTTCATTCACTATAAAGAGAGAAAATAATAAGATCTCATCATTTGAATGCAAAATTTATAAAACTTCATAGTTTACAAAGCATTTTCATAAAAAGTGCCATTTTACAAAGCATTTTCATAAAAAGTGCCATCACCCAATAGATGGAAACTAGAGGGCCCTGGATAAACAATTAAAACAGTGAATTTACTCATTTTATCAACAAGTATAGGTATATGCCTACTGCATCCATGTGCTTGCTAGCACTGAGTATACATTGGTCAATGACACAGACAAGATTTGTGCCTTCATGAAACTCACATTCTAGAAGAGGAAACAGATAACATGTAAATAAACAAACAAACAAAAACAATAACTACAGATTATCATAAATGTTCTGAAAAGATATACAAGGATGTGAACTAGAGTGGGGGTATGCAAGCTTGATTTACGTTGCAAATGTGAAAGAAATGCAATTCCAGAATAAGGTTCCAGATCAGGCAATGAAGAAGTTAAAAGGGAAATGGCTATAAACTTGTTTAACACTCCTTAAAGCTCCGCAATCACTCTAAGACTATTTAAATGTTGAGAGTGCCAAGGATCAAAGATGTGTGAGGAAATTTTCTTGGGAGAGACTGTTAGTTTTCATAGTCTCAGAGTTGGAGGTGGGTGTTGGGGTGCTACTGTCTAACCTCAAGTCAGTGAAACGGGCTTTCAAAAGTTTCCCTGAGAGCTTGATAAATTTTTCCTTCAGTTGCTGATCACCATGAAATAGGAATATTTATTTCTATCCATAAGGATATAATCTATCATGACTCAACAGATTGACATTGGTATACTTTACAATATCTGGGTCATTCAATATTAAATAACACTATATATGGGTAATCTATGTTGTAGCCTACTACAAACCCCTCTAAACCCAGATTATTCCCAGTCTCTTCACACCAACTCCAGTATGGTAAGGACCAGGCCTTACATCYTTCTATCCTAGTGTGTTGAACATCTCTTAAGCACTACTTCAAATACTTTTGGTCTTAAACGCTTAGAACTATACTTACAGCAATGATTTACCTCAGTAAACTACTTAGTAGTGGTTGTCAATATAACTTGTCAGAACCTTGCCTCAAACATATACTCTATATCCCAAACCATCTCAGTTTTGCCTCAGGGCTGCTTTAACTATGCAACAGGAGACTCCTCTAGGAAACATTGCAYATTGATGCATGTTAACCACAGAGCTAATGCCTAGCCAGGTGATAATTGACAATAGAGGTCAAAAGCTGGCAGATATATGCTTCTGTCCTCCATTCCTCAGGAGGGAGTTCTGAGAGCATTCCATAAGATTTCTCAGAAACTCCAGAGGATTGGGCTGGGGCTGTAGCTCAGTGGTAGAGCACTTGCCTCGAAGGTGTGAGACCCTGGGTTCAATTCTCAGCACCACATATAAATAAATAAGATATTGTGTCCATCTACAACTAAAAACAAAAACCTCCAAGGATTGATCAATAAGAAACTTCTTGCAATGCCCAACTCAATAGCATATATTTGTATTGATTCTCCTTCCTTCCCTGTTTATTCCTGAATAGATGACTCACATACCAATCTTGTCTGAGGCTCTATTTTGAGGGAGTCCCAATTAAAACAACTAGAGACTAGGTTTCAGCTTTTGATCTTCTCTGAGAAAATGCTTGAACAGTATCACAAATACACATGCATACATGCACATATATAACACTTATGTACACTTATTCCAAGAATGAACAATAATATACAAGCATAATGGAATCTAAATCCAAACAAAAAATAAATAAACATTTTTCCCCAAAGAAGCTCAAATTCTTCAAAGAACTAGCTCTGCTAAAAAGCACATTCACAATTTTCAATGATGACCAGTGTTTTATTTTGAGGATAAAACATGTATATTCAGATGACTTCAAGATTTTTCCAGGAGCCAGAGGTGAAGATTTGTAGAACTCAAAAGTCCTAAAGATGCTTTTCTCAGTCTACCCAAATGTGAGTGTCCAGTCTTCACCTCCTGGGTGACTGAAAACTGATCATTGTTTAAATGGCTATTTTACTTCCCATTCTCGCCTTCAAGCTTTCAGAAAATCTTGGGGTCTCTAATGCCAACTAGGTCACCCCCAGTTAGGTTATATTTTCTATAGTTCAATTTAAACTTCAAAATTATTTTCCTAGTGGTGAGAGGTGGCTCATGACCCACAAGAACACTCACTGTCAGAAGAGAAGCAAAGGGAACAAAGAAACACTCAGCTGTCACCAAAGTACTGGAAAGCTGCCCTATATTTTATTGGCCAGATTTTAATCACATAGATAGAATCAATTGCAAGGAATACTGGGTAATGTAACCTTTAGTCAGGGTGCATTTGTGCTTGGGGAAAAATCAGGGATTCTAAAAGCTGTAAGAGGAGTAGAAGGACTTCTGAGAACCAGCAGTTTCCGCCATTGCCATTTACTGCAACCCTTCTCCAACTCCAGCCCTAAGCTGAAACTCTAGTACTCAACAGGACTGTCAGCCCTGCCCAAAAACAAACTTTCTGAGAGGACAAATAGAGACCCCACTTTTCAGTCTGCGCTCAGAAGAGGTGGGCGGGCAAAATATTTTTAAGCTGATTTCAGACAGCACCTGCAGGGTACCCGGCTGAAGGGTACAGCAGTCACGGAAACCTCTTCCTTTGCCTTTCTGGTCCCTATTAGGCATTCCGGAACTGGATTGCAGAACCCGGGAATGCCCCGGAAGTATTTTCAGGGGCCTTACGTAGGGAAGATGGCGGCGGTGCAAGTTGCCGGCTCGTTGTCGTGCGGGCAGGCACGAGAGGCGCCACGGGAGCCGCCCCCTGAGCAGGACAATGGGTTCCGCCGGTTGTCGGCCAGGCTCCGCGCCCTGCGCCCGGAGGACAGCAGCTCCGCCCGCACCGAGATCCATCTGCTCTTTGACCAGCTCATCTCCGAGAACTACAGCGAGGGCGGCGGCGTGGCCGCAGAGGTAGGCGCCTCGCCTGTGGGAGAAGGGGAGCCGCGCTGTTGCCACGGCCCCACCCTCAGGGAACCCAGCTGCTAACTCCAGCGGGCCTCTCCTGGCTGTTCCCACCCGGAGCCCCGGATGACTTAATTCCAGGCTGACTTGCTCCCTCTGATCCTGGCATATTCTCTGCTGTCCTCCGTCTGAAAGATTCTGCAGTGGTTGGCAAACTCTCATCTTTCAAAGCCCAGTTTGATGATTTCTGCTCTAACACCTCGCATCTGGCACCACCTTTCCATTCTCACGCTCCACTTCCATTCTATGCATCCCAAACCTTTTGTCAATAAAATTCATAACTACTGTTTATTTAATGTTGACTTAACCATGAACCATTCCAGGAATCTTAAAGTGTGCATAATTATTAGGTCGTTTTTTTTGCCGATGGAAACATTGAAGTTTACAAAGATCCATTATCACGTTGTTGGCAAACAACAGCTAGAAGTGGAGCCTCAGTCTGTAACAAAGTCCCTGAATTTTCCGTTCTTCCTCTACCCCCTCTGCCTCCTCTTTAGAAGTTCTTTTCGCTATCCGAGAAATCTTTTTTATACACACCAAGTCTTAGATATCACTTAATAATTTTCTAAACACTTGAGCCACAGCCATCTCATGCTCACAGGCAACTCAAGCTTGACAGTTTTTAAAAATGAATGTTAACCTCTACACACTTTCATCCCCAATTCATCCCATCCTCCAGGACATGCAAAACACAAACCCTTGTTCTTTTCCCTTTCCTTTGACTTGGAGCCTGTCGGATCCAGATTCTTCACAATCTCTTTCAAACATGTTTCTCAGTCCATACATTCTCTTTGTTGCCATTGCTAGTGCCTTTGGCAAGATGACTCTAGCTTGGACTGTTGCACTGGTCTTCTCTAAACTGAATGCCTTCCTCTGGTCCAACCCTTTTGCTGTGCTGCCAGAGTGATTTTTTTCTTTGGTTTAAAAAAAAAAAAAAAAAAAAACTACCTATAAAAATGAAAGCCTGATCTGGGAATATCTATACATATGGTAAATGGTTGAAGCAAAATTGCCCAATAATTTATACAAGACAATATGGGGTTCAAGAAAGGAGGGGAATTTTAAAATATGCATATGTTTATATATGCAGAAAAAATCCAGAAGAGTTCATAGCAAAATAATAGTGTGAGTGGGATTAAGAAGAAGTCAGGAAGACTTTTGATTTATTTGTATGCTTTGATATTTTTGCAAAAATATGTGCTTTTCCAGTTTTCTCTCCCATCACTCCTCCTTCTGTGTCTTGTCTGCATTTCARAGGTACTGTTCTTGCTGCTGGTGTTTTGCGTCTCCCAAGTCTTTACACAGTTCCATTTTTTTTTTTTCTTTAAGTGTTTTTTTGATAGCTGATCTGTTTGCAAAAATTCTATTCATCCTTCAATTCATTCCAGATTCTATATAACTGTACACAAGACTGCATAATCACAATTTTCCCACAATATTTGTACTTAATTCTTTCAGCACTTAATTTAATTATTTGTGTATATTTCTGTCTTCCTCACTAGACTCTAAGCTCTTTGAGGTTCAGAAAAATGTTTGCTTCACTTTTGGAGCCCAAGGACCTAGCCTACTACCTGGCACATAGTAGGTGCTCAGAGCCTTTATATTCAGTAAACACCAATAAATGAATGATATGATTTGCAAATAGGTTCTTTTTTTAATAATTCCCCAATTTTACATAAAATTTATGTGTCATTTCCAATTTTCCTAATGACATTGAAAATCTAGTTGGCTTACATTTTTTGGTGTATTTAACTTCATTATGTGCTTTTATATGCTGGAAGCCTTTCTTTGGTTATTTAATTCTATTGTCTATACATGGTAGAGACTCTGGAGTCTTTAGTTTGACAAAAATGATATTTATACTTTTCCTTTTTTTAGCACACCCTATTTTTGTGCTGTTATTTCATCTTTTCTGCCTCACATTTCATTCAGATGTCATCTTTTCCCGTTCTTCAGTAGGAACATTCAGTTTAATTCTCCCATTTTCCTGTGTTTGGTGCGGGGATGGGGGTGGCTTTCACTTGATTAATGGGAATGTTACCTTTGTGTGTTTTTTTTTTTTTATTGTTTTTTTCTTGGTAGGATGTCAGTGCTCTTCTTGTCCAAGCTTGCCGACTGGTGCCTCTTAATCAGAATCATCTTGTCAGCAAAGTGTCTCAGCTGATCCACCATTTACTAAACAGATTACAGGTAATCATGTATGTAACTTTAGGATTCAGATCATGAACTTTGAGAATAAGCAAATGCTTTTGAAATACTATATCCATAGTAGGTATGATAAACTAATCTTTTGAGACACTAGGAAAAGCAAATGCCTCAGTATGATATTAAAACAAGCYGGGCATGGTGGTGCACATCTGTTATCCCTGCAACTTGGGAGGCTAAGGCAGGAGGATCACCAGTTTGAGGCCAGCCCCAGCTACTTAGGGAAATCCTCAGCAACTTAATGATACCCTATCTTAAAATAAAAAGTAAAAATACTGGGGACTGGGAATATAGCTCAGTTGGTAGAGTGCTTGCCTCACACACACAAGGCCCTGGGTTCAATTCCCAGCACCACCAAAAAAAAAAAAAAGTAAAAATGTTGGGCATGCAGCTTAGTGGAAAGCACCCCTGGGTTCAATACCCAGTACCAAAAAAATAAAAATGATACTAAAACAAACATAACTCTGACCAGAAGAACATTATTCTGCACAATTCTAGAAGTTTGTCTATTAGAAGCATATTAGAAGTATTCCTATTGATTCAGTAACCACTGTGTCAACCAGGCTTCCTGACCTTAGATTTTTTTTTTTTTTATGGTATGTACGGTTGACCAAGATATATCTCAGGATTGAAATGATCCCAGAATTCTTTCCTACCAATRTTTTTTCTCTTTCCTCAAACTATCATTTTTGTTATTTATTTTTTATGTACATAAAACCTAAGAAGTAGCTTGGGGAAGAGGGTACACCAGGATAAAAAGACACCAGTTATTTATATCAAGATCTAAACTGCAGCTCCCTACCTATTTCTAGAACCTTTTCCAACTTGCTAGATAAACCCACTTTTATTTTTAGGATTAAGACTCTTACACATGAGTACATGAATGTAATTGAGAGTGAAAAGCGTTATCAATTAGCATATGTCTACTAGGATGCTTTGGGTTCAAAAAAACAGAAAAGTCAATCCAAAGTACCAAAACAATAAAAAAGAAGAAACAATTAATGCCACATTTCAACTCCCAAAGGAAGCAGCTCTAGAATCCCTTAATAATAAGAGATTTACTAGCATTTTTCCATCTGCAGTCCTTAGTGTGTGTTATACTCAGCCTCTCTGATAGTCATAAGATGGCTGCCTCCATTCTAGGCATCCTATGCAAAATAACTAAATAACATTCCACAGAAGCCAGATTATCCCTGTTTATTTTGTGTCTCTTTTATTTACAAATGAGGAAATTTGTCCCATAAATTCTCCAGTTGACTCTCCTGATATCTCATTGGAGACTTAAGTCATATAAACATCTCTCTAAACCAGTCTCTGAAAAAGGGAATGGAATTACCATGAGTGGCTTAAAACAGTGATTTCAACCTTGACTGCACATTAGCATCACCTAGAGGGCGTAAGCTTCCTAAATGATTACACTGTGCAGCCACAGTGGACTTACTTCAGGGTTTCTGACCCTCGACACTATTGATTTTTTTTTTTTAACTATTGATGTTTTGAATTAAATAATTCTCTATTATGGAAGCTGTCCTGTGCATTGTAGGATATGTTTAGCAGCAATCATCACGTCTACTCATTTGATGTCAATAGCACCTTTTTAATTGTAACAATCAAAAATGTCTACAGACATTGTGCCAGATGTTCCCTGGTGGTCAAGATTGCCTCTGGTTGAGAACTACTAAACTAATTAGGATTTGCTAGAGGTTTTATGTGAGAGAAATGGGCATTTGAGTAGAATCAGAACTCTGCCATGAGGGAAGGAGAACATGGATGCTGATAGGTAGCCAACAGTGTCTACTACATGAGATAGGCTGTTTTCAAGTTTAGAATGTTTCAAACTAATGGGAGGTGGCTTCCAAATRTTGACTAGTCTCAGGGGTGCACTTGAAACACCTATAGTCCATAACCAGCTTTCTGGCATTTGATGACTATTTGTCCTGTCATGTCCATAAATTGATAGTTGGATTAGCCTGATCTGTGCCAAGAAGATTATAAAATAAGAGGGGACAGAGATGTGCCATTTTTCATTGTATTCCCCACACCATGCTAGCAACACAGTAGCTATTTAGCAGGCATATTTATTCACCATATATTGAGTGATTACTATGTATAAAGTAGTTTAATTGAATTAAGACAATTCAGTATTTTAAGTCCTGTAGGTTAATATTTATAGCTATCAGTGTATAGTTAGTTCAAGGAAAATTTACAAGGTTTTACTTTGAGTGGAGGGACTAAAGGGAAAGAAGTGAACAAGACCCTGGGACATGCCAAAGGCCTCTAACCTGATCAAACTTTCAGAGATTTAGAGGTGATCCTTTCAACCCCAAAGGTGATCCTTTCGACCCCAAAAAGGTGGATATATACTCCTTGCACAACTTGATTCAGGTAAGCATAGATAATATCTAAAAAGACAAAAACATTTTTAAGAAGTTAGATCATCTGTATTTTTTCCTCTCTCGGTAGGTGATTGTTGATGAACAGAACTTGGATTTCCTGATGGAATATACTATTTCAGCTATTCATCAGTGTAGTTCCTGGACACACATGGAAATCCTTCAAGCCCTGGCAGCTCTGGTTTACTGTAATGGCTCAAAATGTCAAAAGGTAATTTTAACTGTGTCCTGATTTTTTTTTTTTTTTTTTGAAAGATGAGGAGCAGAGGCTTTRGAGTCAACAGACCTATCTTTAGGTTTTTATCCTGCCATTAATTGGACATGTAGCTTTGATTTACAGTCTTAGCCTTGTAAATACTTGGCACTCTTAACTGTTAACCATCATTATTATCATTACCCATCATCTGCACAGCCATGTCTAAAAAGCTTTAGCAAATACCTAGTAATGAGCCTTCTGCCATTTTTTGGCATATTTACTAACCATCTGAAAGATTTACCTAACAGCTAGTCTTTTTTTTTTTTTAATAGCTAGTCTTTTGACATTTAACTGCCCTTTAATTAAAAAAATAAAATCTGTCTAAATAGTAATATTTTCCTAGAAGTTTTCCCTAAACCAACATTGACTGTTATTTTGTTTTAGTACCTCCCAGACTTGCTAGGCAAGACCGGCCTCTTAACAACATTGAGTGACTTGGCTCAGTCTGACCCGGAAGTCAGGAGAGCTGCAGTGCATTGCATGGCAAACTTATGTCTCAGGTATGTGGATCCAGGCAGTTTTCCCAGTAGTTAGAAGATAGTATCTCTCGGGCCCTTTTATAGATTGTTTCATCTGTCTCAAACAAGAGCAACTTAGAAAAAATATCCCAATTTGCATTTCCCAGGTTATTTAATAAGGTCATTATATGATGTGATTTTAATCAAATAAAGTTCATAATGAAGAAAAAATATATATGCTAAAAGTGATAGTCAATGTTTTATTTTCTATTGGTATGAATTCTAGTCATATTGTCTTTTAGAAGGGTATAGTCGTACCAGTTTAAGCTCTGGTGAGATTTATCTGTCAAGGTTGGTTTCTTCTCTCTTAAGAAGATGTAATTAGTCTACAATATGCAATAGGAAATGAACAGCACAAACTTGAATTTGTATCTAGGTAGCACAGTGGTGTATGGAGGCTAAAAATACAGGTTCAATCATGTGATTCTAACTCAACAGAACCTCTTTGCATTATTTTTCTCTTTGAAATGAAAAGCAGAACTCAAAAAATTTCTCTTTGTCCATACTTCTTCCACTACAAATTTCTGTAATTTTTCCCTATGGAAACCATTCATCCTTCTTTATATTTACTGGAGACTGTGCCTGTCYTACAGCAGTAACTAACCACCTTAGTGCAGAGTTTTTCTAAGTAAGTCACATTCAGGGGTGTATTACAACTCTATTAGTTTCTATTACTGCTATTATTCTTTTGAAGGCACCATTTCAAAGGACACAGCCTGAGTTGTTTTCTCTATATGTGTTTTAGTGTGCCAGGACAGCCTTACCTGGAGGAGCCTTACCAAAATATTTGCTTCCAAGCTTTCTTGACCACTTTACAGTCTCCAAAATCATCAGATATGGATGACATAACTTTCTGCATGGTAGGTAGGACTATTGCTGATCTTACAAATTGATGTAGATATGTCTAGAAGCAAGAGTTGAACTGAGGCTGTTACCAACAAGTTTAATTTTGGCTGCTATATTAGTTTTGTCTCTCTMTMTATATATATATCTACATAGAATGTTTGTAAGCCAAAAAGACTGAACCATATCTTTGGATTTAAATTACAAGAAACCTTTTTTATTTGTTTTGTTTGGCATTTTAGGTTTTAAAAGAAAGCTCTTATTCTTTTTCCTCCTGAGTATAAAAACAGTCTAGTTTCAGACTAGTACCTGATGTTTAAGATGAAAGGGAAGAAAGTAGACTTCAATAATATCTGTACTATTTTATTTCTTCTTAAAAGAATTATATGCAAATATGGTAGTTTCTTACCATGTTTTAAATTCAGGTTGACATAATCATACATTACAGATCCAGGATAGTAAAAGTTTCTTATAATCCCCTACTCAGATATAATCACTGGAGATGATCTGTGCTTTTAGATTTTTTTTCTATATATGAATGAGTATGTTTATCTTTTTAAAATAGAATCATGTTTAATATGCTGTTTTGAAACTTTATTTTTTTTTTAATCTTAATGTCTGTGGTACGTTTTTTTCAGTACCTCTTAATGTACCTCATGCTTTCTTATTTCTGTAGCTAGGAGATCTTGGGCAAATTACTTAACTGGTTAGAGCCTACATGTTCCTTGCTGAAATGGTACTAATGTCACTACATTGTAGGGTTCATGTGAAATATAAATAAAAATAGAGCTTTTAAAGTGCTTGACAGAGTACCTGCAACTGTTGTTGCTGAGTTTCACATTTAGGAGGTTAGCTTCTTAGGTAATCATTCTCATGATCATCATAATGGWTAAAAATTGCTTTTTAAAAGTTTTTCCTCTATTTCAAACAGGGCTRCAGTTCACATCCTCCCCTCTAGGGAGTAAGGATGGAGTCCTAGAAGTGAGATTACTRAATCAAGAAATCAATTTTGATCCAGAATTTGCCTTTAGAGATTACATTTTTATCATTTATCATCTTTTATCATTTACCATCTGCTTCTACATTTACACCTTTGACTTTAAGAGCTACTGAGGTTGCCATATTGGAGAACTTCCCTGCTTTTGATCTCTACTATTACTTTTTCATTTCTTATCACAGTCTTCCCACTAAATCTCTTCATTTTTATTTTCCTTGCCCACTATTTATATATGCTGGTTTATAAGTCTGTATTATAAGACTTCTCAAGAGTACTCTTCTAGAAGATAACTCARAGTGATTTATCAGGTCATTTTTCTGGATCTTGACCTCTGCTTTGTGTGTTTCAAAAGGTTTTTTCATCATCTAGAGACTTTTCCTCTTTCATCTTAAGTGATGCTGAAGAATAGATCCCTGGACAACCAAAATTTATTCTGCCTTCTAACTAAGTCTCTCTTTGTCCCCCTAGTTGTTACAAAATGCATTAAAAGGCATTCAGTCACTTCTAAATGGTGGAAAAATGAAACTAACACAGACTGATGAACTTGGAGCTCTTCTAGCTGTACTAAAGGTAAGGCACTTCTTCATTATAATTCGTGTTTTTCCCATTTAAACCCCAGATGTGAGTACCATTTCATATCATCATTCAAGGGCTAACTTTGAAGGTATCAAAAGTTCTCATATATTCTAAGAGAGCAGAATACAATGTTCATATATATAAGCATATTTAATATTAAGAATAGATAATAGCCTCTTTTAAATAAATATACCAAAATTTAAAAATTATCTTTGAATCTTAAGAAGGAAGAAGTTGTGAGATAAGATCTGAAGATAATTTAATCACAGCTTATCTTGAACCAGCTTTTACCTTATTGTACTTGAGAAAAGAGCCAGGGCTTCTGCTGGCATCCTCTGTCATGTAGAAGGCAGGTTAATTAAGACATGTGTCAGCACACTGCTGTCACTAGCTTCCAAACCTGCCAAGCAGGGGAACATGAACTCACCACTCTGGGGATCCAGCAGTCTCAACCCAGACCAAAAAAAAAAAAAAAAAAAAGGAGCCTTTGTGCTCACCTGAAGTCATTGCTATCTGTGACAATATAGCTTTATTAAAACTAAAATTTTAACTTTTCCCATGTGCCATTTCTTTTACCCTCAAATAGAGACAGACAGCTAGATTTAGAGACAAATGACTAAATAAAAATGATAAATTAGTTTAAAAATTAGTGGATAGATAAAATAACTGGATAAGATGATGGGATTAAATAATTATATAAAGGTATGCTAAAATCAAACCTAATCTGATGTGGCCAAACCAGATCCAGCTTTAGGATAGATGAGATTAAGCTCTTCTTTAAGCCTTAAACTTTCAAGGTGTCAAGGTTCTGTCCCATTTTTATTACTTAATAGTCTTTAAATTGTAATCTGTTTGTGTCCTGATCCAGAGCATGCTGCATAATTCTGCTGTAAGATTTATATTTATGTGTGTGTTTTCCTTATTCATCACTTTTTAGAAAGCCATGTTTCATGGACTTCCTGGACTAAACATAGAGATGCCCACGGTGTTATACCCCACTCCACTTCCTCAGTATGATGGGCGACCACCTGTCAAACCACAACAGTCAGAATCCACTGCTTCTCGACCAACGGTGGTACATTTATGTCTATTTGAATTTAAGTTGCAGATTGTTTTGAATAGTTTGCTTTGTGTATTTTCTATGATTTGCATTGCCACTGCCCCAAAAGCCCACCTTGAACTTGATTTCAATTTAAGGTACTGAGCAAAGTAAATTTAAATTTATCAGACTATTGAAAGTACAATTTAAAGCACTTTATGCTCTAAGCGGTCCAGAAAGTGTAACACCTTACAAAAATGAGCATTCACTTTATATACAAAATCAAGCATTCTCATCCCCAGACTTCTCAAAACCAAGGATCGACAAATTTTTTTCTGTTAAGGACTTGACTGGTAAATATTTTAGCTCTCTGTTGCAACTACCCACTTCATGGTCATAGTGCAAAAGCAGCCAGAGATGCCCTGTGTAAATGGAAGGGCATGGCTGTGTTCCAGTAAAACTATATTCACAGAAACAGACAATGGGCCATAAATTGGTAGCCCTTCTGTAGACCATTAGAAGACCACCTACCGGTCCGCACAATGTCTCTACACTTCTGACATTTACCACATTTCTCAGCCTTCCCTGATAGCTGCTGTCTCCTTCATGTTTCTGTTGGAGAACCTATAGCATACAGAAATGTGGCCAAGATTTTATATCCAAAATGTAATACCTGATTAAAAAAAAAAATGCTTAAGATTAAGAATTCTTTCATTCATTCACTTATTCAGCATTGACCAAACACCAGACATTGTGCTAACATACCATTGTGAAATATACCAACACTGGCTATTCTTAGGAGTTTGGAGGGGGAAGCAAAGATGCATAAATAAACTTCACAGTAATATTAGGATTTCTTTCATCAAAATATTCGCAGAGTATTCAAAACACATGCAGGATACCCTGTCCAAATAGAGGAGGAAGAATCTTTTAAAAGCTGTAGTGACTAAGATTCAGGAGTGAATAACAGTACAGAGAGAGGAAAGAATGTTCTGAGGGAACAAAAGGTACATAAGAGAATGAGTGTGCATAGCTCATACGTTAACTATAGGGTAGAGATTCAGGTTCATGAAGGGAAAGGGGAGGGCAAATAAATGTGCAGCAAAGGCAAATCATAAGGTCTTGTATAGTATGCTAAGAATTTGGGTTTTTATCTTATAGGTGAGGAAAAAATCTTAAATAGCAGAATGATGTGATTGAATTTGCATCTTAAGAGAACCACCATGGTAGTAAATAAAAGAGTATGGGTCTGGGCCACAGCCAGTAGTCTGAGGTAGAAGTGATAAGAACCTTCCCTCTTACAGATAAGGACTTTTGAGAATTCAAAAGATAAGGACTTTTGAGAATTTGAAAGAAGGCACAGGTTTCAAAGATATTTAGATGTCAGAAAGAAGAAAGTAGGGAAAAAGAAACTGGCTTTTATTTAGCATCTTCTTCTGTGTAGCCCCAGGGCCCTAGTACCAGCAGTGTGTGTAATGGATTACCATCTTGCATATCTTAATTGGGAGAGCTAAGAAAATAGACWCTAGCATCATTTCCATAGGCTTTAATTCTTTGGGGTAATCTCTATTGAGAAGGCTGAACACTTTCACTATGCTGTTTAAAGTAGATGCCTCATACTTACAGATCAGGAAGGTCAAGCTCAGAGAAGCTAAGTGCTTTGCCCAGAGTTACAGWGGTAGAATTTGAACCCAAACCACATGTTTTGCTCTGACCCATGGACTTCATGCCTTATTTCTTAAGTCCAGGATGGTGTGTGAGAGTATTCAGCATTGTGTYTGATGCATAGATACTAAGTAAGTGTTACTTTTTTCTTTTCTTCTCTTATTTCTTGTTTCTTTAAACTATGTGTTGGGAACATWTTTAGTCATTTTCAAATGAAGAAGTACCAGTGATTTTGTTAAAAGTCATTTATAAATAATTATCATATGTATGTCTTCATTTGCTCCTAAAATCAGAATAAAAAGAAAAAATACAAAATTAAGCCAAGGAAAACCCCACAAGGAGAGGAAGAGGAAGAAGAATCTAGTAGTGAGATGGAAGCAGTCCCAGGCCCCGGCACAAGCAGAGTGAACATGCATGACAGGAATACTCGATGCTCCTCCTCCCCGGGCGTCCAAGGTTTGCCAATAGATGGAAGTGGAACTCTGGGAAAAGAGCGGGTCTCCTCACCCTTCACCACTTCCAGCTGGAAAAGGATCAGCAGTAGTGAGTCAGACTATTCTGATGCTGAAGGAGGCTTACAGGGTAAAATGAGGTAGTAGTATTTTGTTATATTTTTATACTTTAATATCCTAAGTTGCATGTCAGTTTATAGCTTTGCTTAAAAACCTGACTGCTGCCTGGGATGAAACTTGAGAATTTTCATTTGTGTGGAGCTTTGCATTACTCTGAACTTGCTTTGCTCACTTGATCTGTCCTTGTATGTTCCTTTCCCTGGTGTAGTCTTTTCTTCTGTTTCTTTTTGTTGCTGTTGTTCTTGTTCTTGTTGTTATTGTTGTTGTTTTGGCCATTTTGTATTTTTAACAACTACTCTTCTTCAAAATAAGCTCAAAAATCATATTCTCTGGGAAAACTTGTTCAATCCCTCCCATTCTGGTTTAAGAGCCCCTTCTGTGTGACCCTTTGGCTTAACCTCTGCCCTAGTGTATTTCAAATGTGTTATTATTTCTTGARCTTTCCATCAATCACCTCCACTTAGCATGGGCAGGGGCTTCATTTGTCCTCCAACCCATCATAATGTCTAATTCCTACATGGGGTCATTCATGGGATATTTGTTGAATGGGTGGATCGATACTCTGCAGTGTTTCATATCTAATACTAGTTTCCTAACATCAAAATGTATTGATGTATTGTACTTATATTCTATTGCGTTGTGGTTTTTGTCAGCCTTAATACCTTATTAGATAAGCAAATTGCCTTAACATGTATTGATCATATCTTTAAAAAATTTTTAATATCATGGCAACATCTTTAGGGGTTATTGTAGGTTTAATTTCTCAATGTATGATTTTAATTGTCTAGAATAAATAGCATTTCATGTTGCATTTTTAAAAAGCTGTTTAAAAACTTTTCTTCCTTATTTTGGATATGAAAGGTCATACCAAGCCAAAGTTCGCCAAGGAGCATTAGCTTGTTTTCTTTCTACTATAAAATCAATAGAAAAAAAAGTTCTGTATGGCTACTGGTCGGCCTTTGTTCCTGATACGCCTGAGCTTGGAAGCCCACAATCTGTGTCCTTAATGACACTTGCATTAAAAGATCCTTCTCCCAAGGTAAGAGCATTTAAATTCTAAGCTTTATAACAAGAAGAGAAAATTTACACATATTGTTTTTTATCTCTGCACCATCTAGTCTTAACTGAATATTGCTCTGAGTAATCCTGACCCAGTTGCTGACTTGATAACTCCTGGACAGATAAGAGGGGATAGGAAATGGGCTCTGTGAATAGCACATTGATGGGAATTTAATAGAGGCCACTTCTTGCCCTCAGGCTTTCTGAAACCTGAGCACACAGAGTTGTAACTTGGGTATCTCCTTTGAGCTCCACTGAAGTTGCTGTGTCTCCCATTTATGAAAATGTTTATTATCATGGAATTTATAATAGCAAAATATCAGAAATGACTTAAAAACTCAACGAAATTATTATGGTACATATGGTTATAAAGGATGTGTAATGCTCAGAAAAATGCTCATAGTGTTTTGTGAAAGCACAAGACATAGAATTGTGTATATAGTAGGATCCCACTGATTTTCTTCGTATTTAAAAAAAAAATCATGTATAATAAATACTTGCTTCTTTTTTTTAATTTTTTTCCCTTCTTGTGGCAGTAGGGATCAAACCCAGGGCTTCACATATGCTAGGCAAGCACTCTACAACTGAGTGCTTTTTTGTTGTTGTTGTTATATCTTTATTTATTTATTTTTATGTGATGCTGAGGATCAAACCCAGTGCCTCATATGTGTAAGGCAGGCACTCTATCATTGAGCTACAGCCCCAGCCCCAAGTGAGTGTTTTTTTTAAATTTACTTTGAGATAGGGTCTCACTAAATTTCCCAGCCTGGCCTTGCATTTGGGATTCTCCTGCCTCAGCCTCCCAATTAGCTGCAATTGCAGGCTTGTACCACCATGCRTAGCTATAAATATTTGCATATTTTAATAAGAAAAAATTATTTTTTTAAAAAGGAAAAAGATGGTTTTGTTAGCCTGGATGGCTATAGCAAGATATTTCATGATATCTTGATATTTCAAATATCTGCCTCTGCTTAAATAGGTGAGTTCCTCTCTAGAAGTTAGTCTCAATCAAATAAGGAAAGTAGCCTGCTATTTAGAGTCCCCTTACAATAAAGTATATTAAAAAGTTATGCCAAATGGMATCTGGATATCCTCAGAACTAAACTACCCATTGAAAGTGAATAATTTTAATTAAGGTTTCTCCTTAAAATGGGTAGTAATCCACTATAGATTGGAACATCTTATGATCATCTCCTTGAATAGCTAATTACTGTGTAAAAAAAACTTCTAGATGATCCTTTGGAAGCTTATGTTAGCATTAATTATACACAATAAAATTCTTGTGGTACATTTCAAATACTGTAAGTAACTAGATTAGCAGAAATTTTGCAGCTCACCTGAATCAGTAATAAATGGGAGAAAAATGAAAAATGAATGGTAGCAAAGATACCAGTAATGAAGCCATTCTAGTAATTAAAGGGAAAACTACTACAAGGAATTTTAAATGCATATTTGAATGCTTTTCACTAGGGGGAACTGCCAGTGTGGCCAAGGAGATGGTGCTGTGGGGCAAGTAGAAGACAAGTTAACCACTAACACTCCAACTGCTGGGCAGCTAAGGGAATGAGAAACATTCAGTCTTAGGGGATGAATACAGAAAGGCTATGAGGTCGTATCTGATGAAACTGAGTTAATTGAAATAATTTATAATCTTTTAAATGTTTACATTTAAGCCAGGCAGTGACTCACACCTATAATCCCAGTGGCTCAGGAGGCTGAGGCAAGAGATCACAAGTTCAAAGTCAACCTCAGCAATTTAGGCCCTAAGCAACTTAACAAGATCCCATCTCAAAATAAAAAAGATGTTAAAAGGGAATGGGGATGTGGCTCAGTGGCTAAGCACTCAGTTAAAAAAAAAAAAAAAATTTACATTTGACTTAAAGTGCTTTACATTTGGCACAGTGATCTGTCTTATCCATCTCCTGGATTTGGGTCCCCTTTAGACATGTTCTTGCTGTTTATGTTCAGTGTACACAAGAAATATGGTAAGAAAAATGTGCAGAAGAAATTCTTCCTTCTGGAGATGTGCTAGATCCTGCTTAAAGCCCCATGCAAGTCCTGGAGAAGCAGAAATAACAAGCCATCCAAGAAAAGACAATGGAAATTATTCAGTTTAGTGTAATGGCAAATGGTTTCCTCGAGATTTTTATAAAATATTAGCTTGGCAGGGTCTAAATAAGTGGGGATTATTGTCCACAATGAAGTTTGGAGCATACCTCTGCAAACTGAGTGTAATTAATTGTGCACCAAGCCACATGCTGGAAAAGGTTTGCAGTAGTTGATGTTGATGAGAGAGGTTCTTAGACTTCTAGAAACTTTGAGGAAAAAATGGAAACAGATGTGCTGAAAATCTTTTTCTAGTGAGAAATAGAAGAAAAAGTGATTGGAGTCTTCCAGTTGGAATACAAACAATAGATTACTCTCAGGAAATTGGAACTTGAAATGCTAAATCAGTTAATTGGGAAGGAGAAAATTGAGAAATTTTCTTTAGGATTTGGTAATGTGATAGTACTTGGGAAGTTATGTTTCCATGTAGGAAATGTGCTTCAGAATACACATTTTATGCTTCCAGYAGAGACAGAGCAAATTTTCAATAAAAATAACATGACTAATGTAAGAATTTCTTCTGTACAATTTTCTCAGGGATTATAAAGGCATATTATGGAGACACATCAAGAGTTTGGCCTAAAGAACAAACTAAAGGGCAGACCTTTCTTTTAATACCTTGGGAATTATCCTGACTTTCAAATTCCATCATGAATTTTTATTTCTCTTTGAAATAACTATGAAAAGTAGATACWAATAAAGTCTAGATAATAGCATAACAAGATAAGAAAATGAAAAGGTTAGAATTTTTAACTGTTATGGAGTGATAAGTAATCAGGTTACTTTTATATGCCCAACTAGGAACAATTAAACTTTACTTGAATGTCTCCAAATCTACTAKCCCTGTCACAAGGTTCAGATACATTCACTTTCAAGACAATCAACTTTGGAAATGTAATCCATAAAAAAATAACCCTGAAACATGTGAATAATAATTAGTACTTGAGTCTGAGGCTATATCTCAGTGGTGGGGTGCTTGTTTAGCATACACAAGACCATGGGTTCAATCTGTAGCACTGAAAAAAAATTAATATTTGGACAAAGCCAAAGAAGAGAATAGCTTGGTTCTCTGCATGGAAACCTTAATAGGACCTACTCTCAGGAGAGTTGTCTTCTTTATCAGAAGTATTTTGAGAACTTACAAACATAAGAAGGAAGAAAATTAAGATTGACTGAACTATTTCAGCAAACATTTCTGCTATATTCTAAAAGCAAAAAAGGGGGTGGCGCTTTTTATTTCATTAACTTTMGACAAGCCTTCATGTCCAAGGAGGTGAATACACACTGGCAGAACTATGCACACTGATGTTTATAAGATTGAAAAGTCATCCATCATTGTAAATATTCAGACAGTAAAGCATAATCAACAAAATGAGCTCTCTGGAGAGTTGTACCTATTATGATTTGCTTATACACCAGTAATTTCTGCTGGAAGTGCTGATTGGAACGGATAAACAGGATATTATATATTGATGTGGGAATAAATGAAGCAGAACTTGAACCAGATTCAGTATCATAAGTAACAATTTTATGATAACAAAGATACATTAAACAGGATTTAAAGGAAATTAACTCAGAACTATAAAAAGTATCAAATTTTCTATGCATTTTTATACCTCAGTGGGAATAAAATGAACAAGTTTCAATAACATCCCTTTTGTTTCCATCTGTGATAATCATGGATGTTTTCCTCCTTAAGATACCGAAGTTAATTGAGCGACAATTTTTTTGTCTTTTTGAACATCAGTTCATTTCTTTTCACAACTTGATTTTTAATTTCATTTCGTTTGTGAGCTTCTGTAATTGTGAGTTTTAATTACCTTCCAAAGAAATGAAGTTTTAGTATAACRTCTATCTTTTTCAGGACAGACCAGCCATCCAATCATCAGTTGGCAAACTATGAACTATAATCAAATCAAATCTAGCCCACCACCTATTTTGTATGACCTACAAGCTAAGAATGATTTAGATGCTGTTAAATGTTTTTTTAATAATTAGAAGGAGAATAAAATTTCATGATATGTGAAAAATATGTGGAATTCAGATTCCATTATCTGTAACGTAAGTAAAGTTTAATTGGAACACAGCCACATTTATTCCTTTACACAGTGCCCATTCTACCAGAGCGGAGTTGAGTGGTTGAGACAGTATGACCTACAAGTCTAAAATATAAAATATGGACTATTGCCCTCTACAGAAAGAGTTTGCCAGCACCTGATCTCAGTTCTTGGATCAGCTAATTTGTGTTCATGGTCTTGCTCCTCACACATAAGCACAGGTTTCTAATGTCAGTCCCCTAACTTAAGTGGGCGTGTGTGATTCTGAAGACTCATGCTACATATTTCACTTTTGTTTTCAGAGCAATAAATCTTTAGATTTTTTTTTTATGATGCCACTCTTCAAAAGACCTGAGAAGTGATTTATTATTTGGTTATTTGAAGATAATATAGTTGAAGGCTTTCTGGAAAACCTTTTTGTTTACTCCAAATTCAGATTATGTTTGTTTCATGTTGAGTCAATATTTAGATTAGATCCTAGAATTGTAAGATTGATTCTCTGCTTTGAAAAAAAAAATGTGACCCAAAAGTGTTTAATTGGCATTTTGGGGTGAACTGGCCAAAGAGGGCACAGTATCTTTTCTGTAGTAATAGATCTGYATTTGTTACCTATATTCTGTTTTGGTTCATTTGCCTTTCATTTATTTTTTTCATGTCTGAGTTTTAGTACCACAAAATCATCTGAGGACCAATTAAAAGTAATCTTTTAACCTTATAAAGAGAATCTTGATTCATGGACACTTTCCTGACATACAATAGCCCATGACTGCTTTTATTTTGTTTATCAGATATTCTCACTACAAGCAATATTATTTCTTTTTTTTTTAATAATTTTAATTTTTTAATATTAAAACCTGTGAAAAATACACATTAGTTTTGATATTTTTTTCTTTTCTTTTTTATTGTTGGTTGTTCAAAACATTACATAGTTCTTGATATATCATATTTCACACTTTGATTCAAGTGGGTTATGAACTCCCATTTTTACCCCGTATACAGATTGCAGAATCACATCAGTTACACTTCCATTGATTTACATATTGCCATACTTGTGTCTGTTGTATTCTGCTGCCTTTCCTATCCTCTACTATCCCCCCTCCCCTCCCCTCCCCTCTTCTCTCTCTACCCCCTCTACTGTAATTCATTTCTCCCCCTTGTATTATTTTTCCCTTTCCCCTCACTTCCTCTTGTATGTAATTTTGTATAACCATGAGGGTCTCCTTCCATTTCCATGCAATTTTCCTTCTCTCTCCCTTTCCCTCCCACCTCTCATCCCTGTTTAATGTTAGTCTTCTTCTCATGCTCTTCTTCCCTACTCTGTTCTTAGTTACTCTCCTTATATCAAAGAAGACATTTGGCATTTGTTTTTTAGGGATTGGCTAGCTTCACTTAGCATAATCTGCTCTAATGCCATCCATTTCCCTCCAAATTCTATGATTTTGTCATTTTTTAATGCAGAGTAATACTCCATTGTGTATAAATGCCACATTTTTTTTTATCCATTCGTCTATTGAAGGGCATCTAGGTTGCTTCCACAGTCTTGCTATTGTGAATTGTGCTGCTATGAACATCGATGTAGCAGTGTCCCTGTAGCATGCTCTTTTTAGGTCTTTAGGGAACAGACCCAGAAGGGGAATGGCTGGRTCAAATGGTGGTTCCATTCCCAGCTTTCCAAGAAATCTCCATACTGCTTTCCAAATTGGCTGAGCAATATTATTTCTTACACATGAGAGTGTTTCTAAAAGTTGGATCACTTATGGTGCTCGCTGAGTGTATACTAGATCCTGCCGTCTTGTTTAACTTAGAGCACTTAGATGCTTCAGAATAGAATATAAAGCAGAATGTTCTCAGGAAATTTGATACAAAATAGGCTCTTAGGTCATGMATATTTTTCCTACCCTGTGGGTTCTTTAGTTCTCTCTTTTTGGTTGGCTGTATGCTGAATAAACTAGGCCTCTATCTTTAAATTATTCTCATGTTTAGAATTTCAGGGTTTTGTGTTATAGTGTTACTTATGTTTATGCCTTACTATAAGAAAACCTAATAGCAATGTGATTTAAGGTTCATTTTTAGATGTGGGGTACAAAGGGGCTAGTTCATGGCTGCTTTCAGGACTTGATAGATAATCTCATTGCCTTTTAGTCTTCTTGTTAAGATGACTTAAATACTTTGAACATTAAATATATGTGGGAAAAAGAGACTGTGGCTCCTGATTTTTAACTAACGAGTGTGGTCATCCTGAAATTTCAGACACGTGCCTGTGCTCTGCAAGTGTTATCTGCTATACTGGAAGGCTCGAAGCAGTTTCTGTCTGTTGCTGAAGATACCAGTGACCACAAAAGGGCTTTCACTCCCTTCTCTGTTATGATTGCTTCCAGCATTAGGGAGTTACACAGATGTCTTTTGTTAGCTTTGGTGGCAGAGTCGTCTTCACAGACCCTAACTCAGATAATTAAGGTAAATGTTCCAAGGTACCTGTGAGTTCCAGAAAAGATTTCTCTGGTTCAGTGTTGTATAATATCTTACATAGTCCAAAAGTAACTTAACCTAAGAATRTAACTAAATAATAAATGTATTAAAGATATCCTATTTGGAAGATTGTACCTACTTGTCTGATATAACCTATAATATCTCTATGTCCAAATAAATGATTTGCTAAAAATACTCTTTTTGCTTTAGTATTAAATTGTACCAATGTATCAAATTTTAAACAAGTTATTTTTTTAAAGAAAAGAAAAGGATTTTCCTTAAGCATAAAAGACCTTTTAAACTAAGTGCTATGAAATTTTGTTTCTATGCTGTGATTTAGTCAGGCCTATTGATAAGCTATTTTTTTGTGATTTACAGTGCCTTGCAAATTTAGTATCAAATGCCCCTTACAACCGTCTGAAACTCAGCCTGTTGACCAAAGTCTGGAACCAGATAAAACCTTATATCCGCCACAAAGGTTGGTAGTGTTTTAAAACCAATTACTTCTTTATTCAGTCAAATGGAAAGTATTAGTAAATTTTTTTTAAAAGTATTCAGAGCATTTTTGCAACTCTTAAGAGATCTCTACTTTTTCTCTTCAGCTTTTCACAGCTACCAATGATGTTCTACTTTTTCCCCCTCAAACCCCTACAGAAGAAAATGAGATGGAGAATGAATTGTAAAGTTTAATACCCCTTTGATGCTTCATGGCAGTGACTAGAGTGTTCCTTTAGAATTAGGAATGAGCCAAGTGCAAGTGGATTATTAGCTTTAGGCATAAGTAGAAAATGGATGAAAGGACAGGCAGATATCATCATCTTCTTGGAAACAAAAAAATTGGAATACAGAAYATAACTTCTTTAATGTTATCTCTTCTGAAGGCTCAGATAACATCCCTGAACTTCAGATTCCAAGTGCAGAGTCTTATTTCTTATTTCCTATTTTACTCTGTTAAACTGAAAGTTTTGCAAGCTTTCAGATCAGAACACATTTGGAAAAGATGAGTTTTTGTGTCAGAATTGTAAAGCAAGAAGGAAACAGATGTTTTCTGTGACATCATGGGAAGAACACTGGCTCTAGAGTCAGTCTGAGAGTCTGCAGCACACTCCCATTGCCATGGCCCTTACTGAGCCTGAAATTCCTAACAGCAGGAATTATACCTACTCTATAAGATTTATATATGTTGTAGGTGGACCAATACCTTTATTTTATTTTATTTACTTTTAAATGGTGCTGAGGATTGAACCCAGTGCCTTCACATGTGCTAGGTGAGCACAACTACCACTGAGCTACAACTCCAGCCCTCCATAAGACTTTTATTAGGCCTAAGTGAGATCCTGCTGTGTAAACTAAGTTCAGTCCACTCCTTACACCAGTGTGTAAAGCAGGACTCAGAAAGATAAAATAAACTCCTCCTACCTTAAGACCTCTCATCATTTTTAGTGRCAAAAAGATTAATAAAAGAACCCAAATTTCCTCAAGAACTAAACAAATGGTAGAGATATTTCATATTTATGSATAGGAAGACTCAATATTATCAAGATGTCAGTTCTTCCCAACTTATCTATAGATTCAGTACAATCCCAGTCAAAATCCCAAGTCATTATTTTCATGTCAACTGATTCTAAAGTTTATAAAAGGAAAAAATCCCAGAGTAGCCACATAGCACTGGGTGAGAAAACAAAGTTAGAAGGATTGACACTACCCACCTTCAAAACTTATTATAAAACATTAGTAACTAAGTCAGTGTAGAAAAGGATAGGCAGATCATTGGAACAGAGTAGAGAGCCAAGAAATAACCTATGTTCATATAATCAACTTCTCTATGACAAAGTAAGCAGAGATTTGTTTTCAACAAATGGTGCTGGACATTTTAGCCTTAATGGCTTTTTTTTTTAATTCTGGGTTCATTCAAGGTTTGTGCATTACATTCAGTTATTGTATCACTTTAGTCTTTGTTAATTGTGTGGTCCCTCCACCCTTTTTTGTTTGTTTTTCATAATACTGATTTTTTGAAGACTCACAGTCAGTTGTCTTATGGATTATGTAATATTTTCTCAGTGTCAGATTGTTTCTTTATGATGTTGTCCCATGTGTTTCTTACGAACTTGAAATTAGGTCTGGAAGTTTAATTAGACCTAATTAAACAAGGATCTAATMATTCTTATCTACCTGCAGAGGTAACTGATCCTTATCAGAGTGGTTCCTAAGGTAATAGGCTCTGACTTTCCTTTGACAGATGTCAATGTCCGTGTGTCAAGTCTCACACTCTTGGGAGCTATAGTGTCCACTCATGCACCTTTACCTGAAGTCCAGCTACTTCTGCAACAGCCTTGTTCTTCTGGACTCAGCAGTAGCAATTCAGCAACTCCTCACCTCAGCCCTGCTGATTGGTGGAAGAAAGCCCCTGCAGGATCCTCTCTGGAAGAAACATCAGTTAGCTCACCAAAGGGGTCTTTAGAGCCCTGTTGGCTCATTCGACTTTGTATTTCCACTGTTGTACTGCCCAAAGAGGATTGCTATTCAGGTGGGGATACTGGCTCTGCAGCAGGAAGCACTTTTGAACCATCTCCCATGCGACTGGAGGCCCTACAGGTAAAGATTTCGTTTCCTCCTTTCTGAAAGGAGGTGGTCATTCCCCTTTCATAGGGTGACTGTGAGAAGTAGGCATATAAAATATTGTAAAAACAAGCCACATTGGGCCTGAGATTGTGGCTCAGCGGTAGAGTGCTCGCCTAGCATGGGYGGGACCCTGGTTTGATCCTCAGCACCACATAAAAATAAAAGCATTGTGTTGTGTCCATCYACACCAGAAAATAAATTTTTTTTTAAAAAGCCACATGACATTAGTGGGAGTTGTGTTTTAGCTGTGGGTGGTTTATTTTGGTATTTTGATCAGGTTGCGGGGGTGGGGGGCTTTGGTTGTAAAATATTGTAAAAGCTATTGTAGTTATCTCAGGTATTATATGATAGGTGGGACAGGTGGGTGTAATAGGTATAATAGTTCTGAAAGGAATTATACGGTTAATCTTGGAATTCTGCAACTTAAATCTTTAATTCTCAATAAATTCTCTCATTTCGCATCTGCTTAATGAAACAAAATAAATACTCCTTCAAAGGAATATACTTTTAACTCTGAATAAAAGTATTTGCTCTTTCTATTCTCAGATGTAGTCTAAGACATAGGCTTAGAACTGCTGCTGATTATTTGGATAACATTAAATATATCCTTTAACCTTTTCAGCCTTAGTTTCTTCAGCTGTAAATTCAGTTAATACCTATCTCAAAGGATTACTCAGAGACATGAGATAATATTAAATGAAAAACAATAATAAACTATAAAGCATCATAAAATTATGATACAGTTACTTGATGTTAGCAATAAAATAAAGATTTTGATTGTTTTTCATTTCATTCACATCAGATTTCAGTTACCTGATAAGTGTAAGTGATTTCTCAAATATTGAAATTGTTTTCTAGATACTGCAACCTTGCATTCAGATTTTTGAGATTAATTTCCTGCTYTCTGCGTAGGTGTTGGCTCATCTGGCAAGGGGCTACTTTTCTGTGGCTCAGGTCTACTTGATGGAACTTGGAGAGGTGATTTGCAAGTGCATGGGAGAAGCAGATCCATCCATTCAGCTTCATGGCGCCAAGGTAATTTTCATTAGAAGCCAGATTTCTTAAGGAGTCGTCAGGTAAAGGAGCTGTACATTCCTCTATTTTCAATTCTTACCTATAAACCCAAAGAATTGTTTKGGTATTAAATTAACAACATATAGCTATTGATTTTATTCCTCAAAAGAATTCCTCTTTTATAAGAGTTAATGAGAAAAGAAGGAAAATCTCTTAGAAATTATTTTTCCTTATGATTTGAAGTGATCTCCAAACAGAAGTGAGCTGATTTGTTACCTCTGTAATTCTAATGCTCTGCTTTGACAGTTATTTCTTTTACCTCGGCAGCTTCTGGAAGAACTGGGCACAGGCTTAATACAGCAATATAAACCAGATTCTACCATAGCACCTGAGCAGAGAGTACCAGTCTTCTTGGTAAATGCATATCTATTCATAGTTCTTGCTTTTCTTAATGCTTCAGTTACAGTTTTATTTGGCACCTCAGTGATAAAGTGGAATAGATGAAATTATTTCTTCCAGTGTCACAAGCTATGGTTTATAATCTAGCATGACATGAAACTAACATGAATAGTTTTTATTTGTAATTCAGTATGTAGTAGGATTATATGTAAGGTTCAACCAAGAATAATAAAATCAGTGTTTCTTGTGCATAAAATGGTGGAAAGATTTTGAATCAGAAGGCATAAGATCAGATTTGGAGAGCATCACYTAATGGTTGTGGGATTATAAGCATAGTTTCCTCATCGTAAAGAGGAAGGATAATCCTTAAATCATAAGATTGCTGAAAAAGTGAATGAAATGTAAAGATGCTGGCACATAGTAGGTGCTCAGTGAATGTTAATTTCCTTAACCCCCAATTATGGGAGAAACCATGATTACTATTAAAAATCCTGTGATCTCAGGTTGTTTCTGTTGTCCCCAACTGCCAGTTGTTTGGATGAGGCTACCATTAAAGGTTTCTTCTAYTCAGTGCCAAAAGCAAAATCAATTCAGTGTGAGTGATATTTTCTCCCTGTGCCCTCTTCATCCTGCCCCTTCTTTTCCCTTCACAATTTCCATCATCCTTCAAGTATATTAATAATGTCTAACCCTCCTCCCTTCTTGGGGCTGCCATTAAAGATTTCATGTAACCATTCACAGAGAGATAAGATGAGGTTTGCTATCAGACAGAACTAGGTTTGAATCCAAACTTCTCTCCTTGCTAGAAAGTGGCTTTGGATGGCCTCTTAACTGTTCACACTCATCTCTAAAGAAGACAGACTTTCTATACTACTTATCTACTACTAAGTAGTAAATCAACCCTAGCCATGTAGCAACTTTAAGTGATATACATTTATTCTCTCACACGGTCTAGCTTAGCCATGTGGTTCTTCTGATCCAGGTCTCATGAGGCTGTGGTCAAGATGCCGCCCAGGGTTGCAGTCAACTTCAGCTTGCCAGGGTTAGAGGCTCTTCTTCCAAGGTGGTTTACTCATGTACCCAGCAAGTTAGCATTGGCTTTGGCAGAAGGGTCGCTCAGTTCCTCCCCATTGGGACCCCCTCCACAGGGCTGCTTGACTGTCATGTTGAATGGCAGCCCGCTTCCCTCACAGCAAATGATCCAAGAGGAAGAGCAAGATGGAAGCTGCAGTGTGTCTTATTCCTAGCTTCAGAAGCTTCACATTGTCACTTTCACAGCATCCCTTGGTTACTAGGTCAGCTCTATTCAGTGCAGGAGGGGACTGCACAGAGGTGTAAACATTAGTAGGTGAGAATAACTCTGGGGTACCTTGGAGGCTGGCAACCACACCTGTCTACATTATAATGGATTGGAGTAGGGAGGGCCCAGACTGGGCTTCCAGGAGCTGAAGTAGGAGGAAGATATGACTATTGCATGAATATACAGCAAAACCCAGGCCCATATATATAGGACAGAAACGGGGGTTACCAAAACCACAGGTGGATTTGCAAATGAATGCAAAAACCAGGATTTTTATAAAGCATGGAAATAAAAGCATTCAAATGTCTACCTGAGGGACTTTGAAGTGATATAATTCTTTGAAATGCTATAAAAAGAGCCTACTGCCTAATTTAAGAGTATCCACTGTGTAAGAACTTTTAAAAGAGTGTCCTGTGGAAGGAACTTTGCACACAGTATCATTATCACAGACTCTACAACATAGATATCTTTGCCCCATTTTATTGAAAAAGAACCAAAGTTTAGATAGGTTAAGTCACTTGCCCAAGGCTGTAGACAGGAAGCAGCAGCTGCAGGACTTATGTAACTCAGCCTCTGGATCCTGTGCTCCTTGATCTAGAACACATGGTCCCTGGACTATTTTGACACTCTGTCACAGGGGATCAGGTTGAAAGAGCCCTAACTAAATGTTGGTTTATCTGGATTCTAGTTGACCTCTGCTGCCTATTAACAAGTTATAGTATCTCATTGTGCCTCATATTCCTTATGTGAAAAAAGAGATGTAAGTTATGCTGAGGGTTAAAATCAGTTGAAGTACTTCAGGCACTTAGAGCAAATCCCAGAATGTGATCAGCTCTCTGAAAACCATTAGCTGTTTTACTGTCATCTTCATCCTTCTCCTCATTGTCACCATGGCTGTCTGACTTCATTACACTGTAGTCTCTTAGTCAATAAAATACGAGGATTTGATTAGTTGTTTTCTAAAGTCCTTTTTATCACCATGGAAGAACCAATGAAGCATTTACAGAAAGCCAGTTCCTTAAGGAAACATGTCATAGCTAAGGCCACATGTGGTAGGCTTAGCTTCACTTGGTTCCACTGTGCATCTTAGGCTGTAGTTCTAACTGTGCCTCTTTCAGGTGGTGATGTTCTGGACTGTGATGCTAAAAGGTCCTTTACCTCGAGCCCTGCAGAGTTCAGAGCACCCAACTCTCCAGGCGAGCGCCTGTGACGCCCTGTCTTCCATCTTGCCCGAGGCCTTCAGCAGTCTGCCGGTAACTCAAGCCATTTTCTTCCTCTCAAACTGTGCCCTGAGCATCACAGCTCAAGTTTGATTCTTTTTTATTTTGAAATATTTTCTTTGTTATCTGTAAGGAAGAGGAGATTATTGTATTTGAATTTGGCTGAGGGCAGTGGGAACAACAAACGGGAGAACTTTTAATCTGTCAGACAGCTGTTTCTCGCGGTGCTTTAGAAGGCGGGTGGTAGAAGAGTTAGCACAGCTGCAAAGGCAATGAGATTTCAGAAAGATTTCCTGCCAGAGTTTAAAAGACSTGGGCTTAAATGCTGGGTCTTTGTAGCTCTGGGACTGTCTTAATTTTTCTAGAACTTAATATTATTATCTTAAGATGGGAGTCATGTGAAAAATAACATAAGAGTAGGTGAAAATATTTAGATATGATGCCAACACATGGTATTTGTCCTAGCCCATTTGGGCTGCTAAAATAAAATACCATAAACTGGTATGACTTTTAAAAAACAGCAGTTTATTTCTCAGAGTTCTGGAGGCTGGAAGTTCTAAGATCAAGGCATCTACAGAGTTGGTGGTGTTAGGTGCTCAATCTCTGATTCATAGGTGGCCCTGTCTAGCTCACGGGGTGGAAGGGGCAAGACAGCTCTTCAGGTCCTCACTTAAAATGGCATTAATCCCACTCACGAAGGTTCTGTCCCCATGACCTGATCACCTCCCAAAGGCCCTAGGACCTATTACTGTCACCTTTTGGTTAAGGTTTCAACATATGAATGTGGCAGGGGCATAAACATTTAGACCATAGCAGTATCCAAACTGCTGCTTTTCTTTAATCTTCAGCAGAATTTGCATCTGTTTTTATTTATGTAAATTAGCTCTTATAAAAAATGCAACTTTAATGGAATAAAAGAATAAAAAAATGCCTAATTTACACAGTAGAAAGCTTGGATGTGATGAGATGCTGTGTGTGCCTTGCACAAAGTGGATTCTCAGGTCAACATTGAGTCTGAATGGAACCTGCRCTAACACAGGGCAGCCTGCCCCAAGATCACAGTGCATTCAGCTCCTGAATATGAACAGGTACTTCATAGTCATTTTGGGGAAACTTTGGCTCATAATTATTTCTTTTTGCTTTTCCCTTTGTCACCCTTCTCATTGCAGAATGACAGGCAGATTTTGTGCATTACAATGCTACTCGGATTGAATGACAGCAAGAACCGTTTAGTGAAAGCTGCGACATCAAGGGCCCTTGGAGTCTATGTGCTTTTTCCTTGTCTCAGACAGGTCAGAGTGAGCCCRTTTAGCTCTTCTTTTTCTATTTATAATCCATATCACCGCTTATTTGTGGATACAAAGCTCCTGAGTTGGGCAGTAAAGGAAATTAACTTCTTTTGTATTCTGATTTCTTTAATTGCTACAAAATTATGGTAATGCCTATAGTTCATTTATTTCAAATTACTTAGCACACCACCTGGGACCTAGATATTCAGTGAATGCTTAATGAATGGCTATGAGACAGTACCATGTGATAGTAATAATTTAGAAAGCTGATGGATGTTTTACTAAAAAAGAAATGAAGTTTCCCTCACTCTTATTTGTGATCTTCTTCTCACCGAGAAGTGTCTAGTGAATAGGGTGTGTTTTGGAAATGTATTTTATTGTCAGAACACCGCTTCCTGAAGGTGGAAATCAACCCAAGGACAAAATTCACAGATAACTGTCATAGGCCAGGTTGTAAGACATTCACAAGAGTTCAGCTGATTGGGTATCCATGGCATGGGTATCTTGAGTATCCAAATTGTAATATTAAAAAAATAGTAAATGAATTGATTGAGTAAATGAATTTTGATTTTGAGTCAAAATTTGCAATAAAGGGTTGTAGCTTTGGGTAAAATAAATTTGAGAATTTCAGAAGCAGCATTGTGAACTCAAAGTAATGCAGTGTTTGGTTCATCTTACAGGATGTCATATTTGTTGCAGACACAGCAAATGCCATACTGATGTCACTTCAAGACAAGTCTCTGAATGTCCGTGCCAAAGCAGCCTGGTCCCTGGGCAACCTAACAGACACTCTGATTGTCAACATGTAGGTGACTCAGCCTGTTTTCCCTGGGTGACTTCTAAGGTGAAGGTCCCAAGAGAGTATCTTTTATCCCTACTATGAGAGAATTATCAGTAATTCCCCCATATTAGTCAGTCTTACTGATTTATTTTTATATTCCTTTAAATAATAAGATTAATTAGATGCTCTTAACACATATTGGGAATTCTATGTACAAACATTCATAATATTTTAATATATATTTGTATAAAATATATATGTATCAATTATATACATWAAAAAATTACATATATAAAAATACTGTATGCTGATATAAACAATATATCCACATTATAGAAAATATAAAAATAGAAATCCAAAACCTTAGTAATGGTTGCTCTACTTTTAAGATATAATATTTATATTTTTTTAAATAATATATTCACAAGTTTAAAGATTGAAATAGTACAAAGGCATATTCAGTGTAAAACCTATCTCCTACCTGAACACCCACATCCCCCTTCCCAGAAATATTTGTTGTTATTCATACACAAGTATCCTGCTTTTTATCTCTTAACCCTGTAAAAGTGACGTGAAAGTCACATGTATAAGCATTCTCCATTATTGGCTTCTAGTAAGTACTTATTTTTTATTTGGTCATTGCTATGTGATGAATTTTTAACCCACTATGCCTAAGCATTTGTTTTAGACTTTAGGTTTGTAGGCTTCTGTCCACAGTGAACATTTTTGTGCATAAAATTTCCCTTTTGAGGTATTCCCTTTGGATACATTCCTTGGTATCTAACTACTGAGTCAAGTACATACTGAAACAGGCACAGTGGCACGTGCCTGTAATACCAGCTCCTCAAGAGACTTAGGCAAGGAGATCACAAGTTCAAGTCTAGCCTGGGCAATGTCTCAAAAACTAAAAAGGGCTGGGCATGTAGCTCAGTGGTAGAGTACCCCTGGGTTCAATCCACAGTAACACTAGGAAAAAAAGAGAGCRAGAGAGAGATACATACATACTGTAAGTTCTTGCTGTGGTGTGAACAGCTTTGTTACGCTATTTTCCTACAGTTTTTGATACTAAGTGAGTATATTTTTATATGTACATATTTAAGTGGGGTTTACCTTTTAACCTATTTTGTATGCTTTGGGTGGTACAGGGAAACACCAGACCCAAGTTTCCAAGAAGAGTTCTCTGGTCTCCTGCTCTTGAAAATGTTGCGGTCAGCAATAGAAGCCTCCAAGGACAAGGACAAGGTAGACTCAGAACAACACCTAGTATTTCTTGTTTAAATACTTGTGTTTATAGTTGTACCATAGCTGGTAGCTCAGTGTGATGTGAAGTTCCTCAAACTGTCACAGCAAATATCTCCTCTTTAAAGGGGGTGGAAAGTATACTCAGGATATACTTAGGCCCCCCTCTACACTTGTACAGTTTCTTTATGTCTCTAATGTCCTGAAAAATATCAGAGCCCATTTTAATATTACATGTTATACTCATATTTTTTCTAATATTATTCTGTTTTTTCCCAAAACATTTGTAAGTGGAATTAACAAATCAAAAAGATGAGGAGCCCCTGGCTTTGAATATCTCCTATTACATAATATAAACTCAAAAAGCATAGGCCTGGGCCTTAGGTCAAGTGGACATAGATTCAAGTCCTGGCTTCCCCTTTTATAATAGGTGACTCTGGTGTGTTCTTTAGCTTCTCTGAAATTCAGTTTTCTCACCTGGAATATGGGAGTCATTGCATATACTTCACTAGACTCTGAGGTGCCTTATGGTAAAGTACCTAGCATAGTACCTGACCCAGACCAATGCTTTATTTAGTACAGTGGTTCTGAGAACCTAATAATCACCTAGGAAGCCCTACCTCAAAGTAATTCAATCAGAATTTCTTGGTTAGAGTCCAGGAAATGGGTATAAAAACAAAGCCTTGGATGATTCTGGCATGTTGCAAAAATTAAGACATTCTGATCTAATAGAAAATACTGGGCTGGAATGATGAAGCCTAGCTTCTCCTCCTAGCCTTGCTGCAAAGCAGCCTGGTCCTGTTGTCTTAGGCCTCCTTGTGCTCCATCTCTATAAGGAAAGACAGACCTCTCTGAGGTGCAGTCTAGCACCAGCAATCCAGGAGAGGAGCTGTATAGACCTCACCTTTCCGATGGCTCAGAAAATTAACCAGATGTGACCTTGCAGAATTCCAAGGACTTGCACCCTTACAGGATGTACATTTCATTAGTCCTCCTGCTTTGAGAAATCTAGTGTCTCCTGGGGTTTTAAAAGCAAAAATTATACTTTATGAAACATCTCTGGCAAAACAGATTTCTAAGGCTTTTACATTTTTTTGTAGGTAAAAAGCAATGCAGTTCGGGCCCTTGGAAACTTGCTTCATTTTCTGCAACCTTCTCATATAGAAAAACCCATATTTGCTGAAATTATTGAGGAGTCTATCCAGGCTCTGATTTCTACTGTTCTGATCGAGGCTGCCATGAAAGTTCGATGGAATGCCTGTTACGCCATGGGAAATGTGTTTAAAAATCCTGCCCTTCCTCTTGGTAAGAAGGTTTCCCTCTTCACTCTTGCAGACAAACTTTTTTTCACAATGTTTTTTGTCACAGTATTAGAAAACAATGGAACCCCAAATTTGGGGCAATGGCAAAATAAATTACTTTATGTATATTCAACAGAATATTTTGTTACCATTTAAAATTACATACAAGAGGAAGTGAGGGGAAAGGGGGGAAAAAAAAACAAGGGGGAGAAATGAATTACAGTAGATGGGGTAGAGAGAGATGATGGGAGGGGAGGGGATGGGGGATAGTAGAGGATAGGAAAGACAGCAGAATACAACAGACACTAGTATAGCAATATGTAAAACAGTGGATGTGTAACCGATGTGATGCTGCAATCTGTATACAGGGTAAAAATGGGAGTTCATAACCCACTTGAATCAAAGTGTGAAGTATGATTTGTCAAGAACTATGTAATGTTTTGAACAACCAACAATAAAAATTTTTTWAAAAAAAAAGGTACAAATATGAAATCCTGTGAGCCCTTAGAACAGAGGTAGATGCCACATCTAAGGAGGGTTTCTGTCAGTCATATCATCATAACATGACATGTAGCAGGAAATACCATTCAGGGCCAGCAGCTGCTTAGGTGTATGGATTATAGCCCCAGACAGCACTCACTTTGAAGGCCAGCATTTGCCTTATATGTCTGTCTCTATGACAAAACTTGAATCTAAGAGAGGAGGAAATCTTCTGGGCCTGCAGAGCCTGCATCAAGTAAGGGGACCAGAGGGAGCTGGTAGAGAGTAGCCTCATGACATTTTCCATTAAGGAGATAGAGCTATCAGCAACCGCAAAAGGAAAATGAGACAGGAAACTGASTAGAGATGGCATTGGGATGGTGAGATTCAAGGACCTCAAACAGTGGTCCATTGTAAATGGCAATAGCATCCATAAATTGGAAAGGGCCTATTTGCCTGTCTTCAGAGGCAACAAAGAATAAGGAAGGGCTGGGAGACTTAAAGAAGCTACATTCTACTTCAGGCTGGTCTTGAAGAATAAGGACACCCCAAAACAAAGGTAACTGGGGAGGAGGGAAGCAGGAAGATWTTTCTGAGCCTGTGGGAATAGAAGAAAGAAATCTTGAAATTAGAAGTTTTCTTTTTCTTCACAATAAAATGCAAAGCTTGCTATGGCCAAATATATGTGTGTATGCTAATCTGGGCTAGGAAATATTCTTTTTGCTAGCATAAACAGGGCTGCTGCATACAGTTGTATGGGTTTGCTCAGCAACGTCCAACTGAGAGGACAGGTAGGGCTGCAGTTCATTCCATGCTCCTTCCAAGTCTTGCTCCTTTGGAGAAAATCTTTCTAGAAAAGAAATCTTTTTCTGAATCAGTCAAAGTCCTATGTTGGGTAGCAGAAGTCCTAAGCATGCTGCAGGCTGGGCTAGGTGAAGAGGGAGGTTTGGGGGTCAGTATCCGGTCACTTACCTAAGATCCCACCATGATTCACTCACCACCCTGATCTTACGGRATTATTATAAGAAATAAATGGGCACATTTGGTGACTATCTGGAGCACTAGTGTGCATGCCTCCTCCACAGCACCCCCCGCCAACTTATTTCTATACCTTTACTGGTTTTAATGATGATATTCTTCCTAGGGACAGCCCCATGGACCTCCCAAGCCTACGATGCCCTGACGTCTGTTGTAACATCATGCAAGAACTTCAAAGTGCGTATCAGATCTGCCACTGCCCTTTCCATCCCAAGCAAGAGAGAGCAGTATGGGTCTGTAGARCAGTATGCTCAGATCTGGAATGCATTGGTCACTGCCTTGCAGAAGAGTGAAGACACCACAGACTTTCTGGAGTTCAAGTACTGTGCCAGCCTACGGACCCAGATCTGCCAGGCACTGATTCACCTCTTGAGCTTGGCCAGCGCTTCAGACCTGCCCTGCATCAAAGAAACCCTTGAACTGAATGGAGATATGGTCCGGTCCTATCTCCTACAGTTTTTAAAATCCGGAACAGAGGGAGATGATCCTGGAGCAGCCCATAGCCCACAAGAAAGAGACCAGATGGTCAAAATGGCCCTGAAGCATATAAGCAGTATACAGGYGCTAACTGGGGACACAACCAGAAGAGCCGTCATGGACTTTTTAGAAAATATTCTGACTATTTATTTTGATGCCTCTGGGTCACAAGTGGCACTTCTAGAGTTGTCAGATCGGTGACTATTCCACCATACTTTCCAGATGTCAAACATGGTCATAGGGAGATGCAAGCTTGAGCATAGGTTATGTGGGATTTAATCTTAACAGGCAGGAACAGTTTATCCACTRTTTATTTATAATAGGTTAGCAGCTATTTGACGTCTTCTCAAAGGGCTCAGCTGCTTTGGAGAGTGGCTGCATTGCACAGGTCATGGTCAGGGTATTGAAAGCTCTAACCTGGGCAACCCGTACCCCAGGTGTCAGATTGCAGTGTTGGCTGAGCACACTGGGAAGTTGTGAAGGGTGTTTAGTCTCAGAAAAAGGAAGGAATTAGAATGTTGTGTATCTCCAGGAACTTTTTTCTTTTATAATAAGCTAATGAAAATAGTGTGGCCACAATCTCCTGCTCTGGTCAGGTCACACTTAGAGAGAGCTTTGAGCAGAGCAGATGCTTAGTCAGTCTGCACTGGAACAACTGCATCAGCTGATAAAATCCTGAAAAAGTTCCTCTTAGTAAGTAGTTGCTGTACCAGGCTCCCCCAGTGCCAACCTCAAGGATCCTCTCAGCCTCTCCACGACTCAGGGGCCAGAGTGAACTCCTGGCATGCAGGAGCCCTGGCCTAGGCCACAACACCAACTCCTATGCAGATTATCTTTTGAGAAGAGTAGCCTCAATTTATGGTGGTTTTTCCACCTTTTAATTTGTGCCTTCAAAAATGATTACTTGTGTAATTTCAGTGGTTGCAAAGAAGGGTTTTTAAACTATATTTTGATAATGCCCAAGTAGTGGTGAAAGTCATTTCTCACACAACAATTATTTACATTTAGATTTTGCATTTGTCTTTTGCCTGCCAACAGTTTATTAGAATTTATTTCAATAAGGAACTTGGGGACATTTAAGAACCAATTAAAATATTCCACAATTACTTTTGACCTAAGATAAATAAAAATCAAGATAGAGAATGGGCTCTGGTGATCTAGTACTTAATTACCATTTAGATATTTATTTTAAGGGTTTATGTTTTCAGTTTTTCTCTTTGCCTTTGAGTTGCTCTTTTCTGTCCTTTAACATGTTGTTGAAAACTGCTGTCGAGGCAGTGACAAGGGGACACAGCACCCAGATTTCCTGAAGTCTTCATTTTCCACTAGTAGAGAATTAGTTTCCAAAGAATTAGACCACAGGCACAGTGAAAACACAGAGAACATTTTTTAAACTTAACCTTCTTTGGAGATGATTCTGAATATGGATTGCTGTAGAGGACCCGGGAGACTGAATCAACCTGTCCTAACCTACAGGAATTCTGACTCTTCTCAAATCTTGGAACTTCTTTGTCTTCAATACATTAAATGGCAGCTTCTTGACTTGTACTTTCATAAAAGTAAAAATGTGGCTTATATACCTTAATGGCCTGGGGGTTTTTTGAGCTTTACTGGTGGGTTTCTTGATAAAATACTTGTGAAATGTCATTCTTATCTTTTGCTTATCTCAAACAAAATCTCCTTTATTTATGTCTTTTTTTTTCTTTGAACCTGTAGTTTCTACAAAGGTTTCCAGGCCTGATATGGATGTTAATGTTCACATAAAGGGAAAGAAAAGATTAAGCRTCTCTAGAAATTCCAGGAGTTGGGTTTGGGCATCAGTCTCAAAGGGATGCTGCTTTTCTTACTGAGGCCTCCTGCACGTGCATCAGAGGGCAGACACCTRTCAACACCTTGGGCTGGTGCCTCAGTAACACTACTAGTACTGAAGCCACCCAGAAAATAGAGTTAGAACTTACTTCAATGCAAAAAGCCCTGCTGATTCAGAATTCTAATTCAAACATTAAATTCTAGGCTGGGGATGTGGGTCAGTGATTCAGAGTTTGTCTAATATGCATGAGATCCTGGGCTCAATCCCCAACACCATAAAGAAGTTTTTTAAAATGTTATACTCTGAAATTCGTATTGATATTTAAAAGAAAGATTGGAGCTACAATAGCTGGAGCCTTCTTCATTAGATGGACAGCATTGAGACTCATCTTCAAACCTTTTCTGAGATCAGTATGAAACCTGCTAACTGCCACCCTTTTCTAAAACTCTAGAAAGACATCCATGTAACCCCCTCTGTGATATTAGTCAATAGTGAGGCGGGTGTCCTACAGAGATGAGAGCAGATTGAAACCTCCTCTTGAACATAGAGACAAAGGCTTCCTTGATTTTGGTAGTCATAGGTGAATGTTGACCAAAGTGATACCACACCATCTTTCCAACCTAAGAGCGTTGTGAGTTACTTTGATTTTGGTAGTCATAGGTGAATGTTGACCAAAGTGATACCACACCATCTTTCCAACCTAAGAGCGTAGTGAGTTACTTTGGTTCATTCAGCCTTTACTTCATTAAAATGATAGTGACAAAGAGCCTGGGCGTAAACCCAGKCTCTGTAGATTTCTGTCTGTGGAAGTTCCCTAACCTCTTGTGCCTTAGTCTTTTATCTGTGAAATGGAGATAATGGTATCTTCTTTGTAATGATGTTAAAATGATTAGATTAATTAATACATGGAAAGTTCTTAGAACATCTCTGGCACTCAATAAATATCAAACATTTCTTTCCTTTCATTTTCAGCGTCCTGGGCAGAGATACTGCCAACATTCCAGCAGTCTCTGTGAGGACAACAGCTGGATTCCCTCAGCTGTACTTTTAGGTGAGGCGATAGCTGGGGTGTCTCGGGAACCTGGATCCATCAGTAGAGAGGCACCACCACAGGATTTCCAGTCTGCCAACAAGAGCCTCGGTACTGTCCCCACAAGTTCCTCAAGGGGAAGCAAGGGATAGGCCACATTGACCCTTTTTCTGCTTCTGCCTCTTCACCCATCCCAAGAGCCAGTCTTCAGAATCTACAGATCCAGCTTGTACAAGCTCCAAAATTACACCCAGTTTTAAAGGACAGCTCTGCTACTTAATAACTATGTCCTCTGGCAAGTTATCTCTAAAGTGGGGCTAACAGTTTCTCACAGAGTTGTTCAGAAGCAGGTCCCACAACATGAGAAGCACCCRGCTCAGGCCTGGCAGGGGCCCCTTGCTGCTCTTTCTTTGGCATCCTCCTTGGGCTGGGATGTCTCCATCTGCACAGTGGGGTGGAACGTTGAGTCCTCAAGCCTGAGCTAAAGGGACCTCAGCTCCACTGGTTGACGACATTGTGCCAGGGTTAGTGGGGACCAAGTGTCAGATAATGAGTGTTTGTGCATTTGTCATTTCTGTCCACATCCCTGAGGACCACCACCACCATCAGGAGCAGAGGCTTACGGTTGTAATGGGAGAGGAGGACATTGGTGGGACACCCTCTCTGGGGGGTGTCATGAGAAGTGTTGCTCTYATCTACCCCATGTCCAGCTAGGATTTACTGTAGAAATGCTGGCAAGTTCTATTAATAAAATGCTCTCACATTAATTTAAAAATGCTATCACACCAAATTGAAAAAGCCAAACAGTCATTTTTATGGATGCTATAAGAGTATAAAAAATAGTGTCTTTTTTCCAAGCAAAATTCCTTTTAAAACAATAAGGAATTTAAAAGATACCTCACCAATATAATAAAACATTTATCTTAGCAGTGACTTCTCCTTTAAAAAATCAGAACCAAAATAAGCAAACCTAAGTGTCATTACTGTCTCCCRATATTGTACACAATTTAATAGCCAACGTGATTAAATAAGCCAAAAATAAAATTWAAAAATTTTTTTCAAGTAATTCCAAATTATCATTACTCACATAACACCAGCCTGCGAGACTGAATTCACAGATGATTATGTGCAGAAATGAAGAAAATAAATCAACTCAGAAAATAATACAATGAATAGAAGTAAACAGTAAAACAACTGCTTTCTGAGGCAGTCAAAGCAAGAAAATCAAAACTGTCTTTCTAGCCAGAAGACCAGTTTTTCTTCTCACTACTTACCCATAGCCAATTTCCCAGGGACAGATAGGACTAAGTGACTAAGAATATTTTGTAATGAATTAAAACCATTTATTAAAAATGAATCACTGGTACTCAAAAGAAGGGCTCTAATTTGTGCTTTATTGTGAATGGTCATAACTAACATTTATTGGCTGCTTTTTATTTGTCAAATACTGCAAAATTTTTCTTAGCTGCTTTATCTTAATGCATTTTTAAATATTTATTTTTTACTTATAGGTGGACACATATCTTTATTTTTTTTATGTGGTACTGAGGATCAAACCCAGGGCCTCGAGTGTGCTAGGCAAGCGCTCTACCTCTGAGCCACAATCCCAGCCCTATCTTAATGCATTTAAAACTCTTAGAACATCCTGTGACAGACAAGAATATACTTTATAGCTATTCAGTTCCTTAAAAATTTCAGTCCTCTTTGGTTCTTTTTAATTTTCTTAGCAAATTTTTAAAAGTACCAGCAAGCAACAGTGTCTTGGATACCCAGTGGCAGTAAATTACAGCAGTGTGGTAGAAAGGCCAGCAGAGGGAGACAGAGAACACAAAGTAGTTCAGATTCTGCTTTTACAAGCTGTTTATTGGGTTGCTATCATTAAAAATATTAGTTCAAATCCAGATGTATATTGAAATCATCCAAGTGATTTTTTTTTTTGTACGAGGATTGAACCCAGGGGCGCTTAACCACTGAGCCACATCCCCAGGCCTTTTTATGTTTTATTTAAAGACAGGGTCTCCCTGAGTTGCTGAGGGCCTTGCTAAATTGCTGAACTTTGAACTCATGATCCTCCTTCCTCAGCCTCCCAAGCTGCTGGAATTACAAGCATGCACCACCTCKCCTGACCTTTAAGGCCCATCGATGGGCAGGTGCCCACAGATTCTGAGTTTAGTGGTCTGAGACATGGCCTTGCCATTGGAAGTTTTTAAAACTGCACAAGTGATTCCAATGGCAGCAAAGTCTGAGAACTGCCACTTTGGAACATGCTACAATGGTGGTTCTCAACCTGTGTGCACAGCGGYGTTGCAGAATCACCTGGGAACTTTGAAACACAGACCTAGGTTGTTGTAGTCTTTATTCTCCTGAAACAGTGTCTGCTGAAATGGTGATACAGAGAACTTAAGATAGTTAAATACATAATCAGTACTAAGTCTGAGTCTCATATGGAGTTCTAACGTATCAGAGTAACTTTAGGTATCATATGTTTTAAAGAAATTTGGGGCGGGTGGGGGGTGGACATCAGCTCCTGCATGCTAGGCATATATTCTACCACTGAGCTATGCTCCCAGCTCCTCAAAAAAAAAATACTATAGGAGAAAAGTCATAATTGAGAGAACAAAAACCATCAGCTTTATTTTTCCTCTCGAAATGGATACAAGACTAGCTTGGCCACCCCTGATCCATCTTCTGTGCCCAGCGGTGGTTTTCCCACAGTAGGCCAGGATTTTCCTCTC